GCGGACACGCGGGATTCCCGCGTTCTGATGTTTCCCGCAGCGACTTTGATGACGTGCCGCGACTGTTACTTTGTAACCAGTTTTCGCTTTGATGCCTCTGTGCGCGAGCGGGTTTTGAAGAGACTCTTCTCTCTCACACACACACACACACACACACACACACACACACACACACACACACACTCGCGCTCTAGTGGACAGAAGCAGAACCGCAGCTTCTTCATTGCGGCGTCTTCTTCTTCTTCTCGCCCTCTAGTGATTACAGAGTAAAGAGCCGTTAATCATATGACCCTAATGAGACACTACAACCCTTCACAAACGCCAGTGAAACCGTGGCGTTCCCATGTTTCGCGGACATGTGCTTATGGTCGGCTAATAGTGTTTTCTGAGCATGCACCATTATGCTTCTTTTGGACATGCATCATGTTCTTTGAAACACCCAAGGCCCACGGTGTCTTTTTTTATAAACACTTTTTGTTATAATTGTTGAAACTCTCTTCACATCCTGAGAGCAATAAATAAAAGAAATGGCATGATATTAAAACATGTCTATATATATTTCCCGGTTCTGAGGTCAGTGGGTAGCTATTCGGGGCTTTGGCCCAAACTAAAATTGGGTATTTTTTTTATTTAAAGGAATTAATTAATTATAAAAGCGATTTAAGAGAATAAAGAAAAAGAAAGGCTTATTGTATTAGTGAAATAATTTAAAGTAGCCTATTTGCAAAATATTTTATTTTTAAGCATGCATACATTCTCTCTCTATCAATCAAGGAAATTATAGCATATTTACAATTAAAAAAGGCACAATTTAATAATAAAAAAAAAAAGTGGATTAATTTGCGTCACCGGATAGGCTACTTTTGGTAGTTGAACATTTCTATTGGAAAACAGTTGTCAAATATTAAATGTTTATCCCAGATAAGTTTGGTCAGATCCCCCCCTGTCAGTGGGCGGGGCCTATGTTGCGATCAGTCATATGCAAATGTATTCGTCCGTTTGACATCACAGATCCCGCAATATCAAAACGAGCTGTTTTTTGGAGCTTGATTAAATAAATGCGGTTTATAACGAAGAGGACGTTTTAAGCTCTTAAACTTGAAGGTCGTTTTAATGGTACAAAGACCTCTTATATGTCAAAAGATCAAGGCAAATTTGATATGTCATGTCATCCCCCCCTCGTGTGTGTTGTTGATGAGGACAGTTGCGGATGAAAGAAACTGTTTTTGTGGCGTGAGGTTTTGGTGTTGATGGGCCGCAGGAAAAGTTTGACGATTGAATGACAGTCTGCTTTTGTCTTTAGTAGCATCAGTAGACCAGATGGTGATGGTGATGGATGATGGAGGAGTAGAAGTGCGTCTGAAAACCTAGCCAGTGACAATAAAGCAAGCCTTGGTGAAAACTAAGTGACAAAATTGTTTTTACATTTACACACAAACTGACAGCCAGCCGCAACTTTCAGACACCATCTTTATTTTTCTAGCTCATCTGTCACAGAATGGAAAGCAAAGGATTCTGGGATATCAAAGGCAGTGAAGGATGCATCTGCTGCCTTCAAAAAAACGATCAGATGAAGGAATCTCAGGACTCAGGAGTATGGAAGCTTGTTTCCGCCACAGAATGAAAAATATAAAAGGTAATTGCGACTTTTTATCTCACAATTCTGACTTTATTTCTCAGAATTGCGAGATATAAAGTCAGAATTGCGTGAAATAAAGTCACAATTGCTTGAAATAAAGTCGCAATTGCGTGAAATAAAGTCGCAATTGCGTGAAATAAAGTCACAATTGCATGTCGTAAAGTCAGTATTGCATGAAATAAAGTCACAATTGCTTGAAATAAAGTCGCAATTGCGTGAAATAAAGTCGCAATTGCGTGAAATAAAGTCACAATTGTGTGTTATAAAGTCAGAATTGCGTGAAATAAAGTCGCAATTGCGTGTTATAAAGTCAGAATTGCGTGAAATAAAGTCGCAATTGCGTGTTATAAAGTCAGAATTGCGAGATATAAAGTCAGAATTGCGTGTTATAAAGTCAGAATTGCGAAATATAAAGTCAGAATTGCGTGTTATAAAGTCAGAATTGCGAGATATAAAGTCAGAATTGATTGATATAAAGTCGAAATTGTGTGTTGTAAAGTCAGAATTGTGAGATATAAACTATTCTGAGGGGAAAAAAGTTAGTCTTTTTCCCTTAGAATTGGCCTGATAACTCGCAATTGCGAGTTTATATCTCACAATTCTGAGAAAATATGTCAGAATCTCGAGATATAAACTCGCAATTATGTGTTATAAAGTCAGAATTGTGAGATGTAAACTAGCAATTGTGAGAAAAAAAGTCAGAATTGTGAGATAAAAAGTCAATTCTGTCTTTTTTTCTCGCAATTGCGACTTTATTTTTCATAGTTGCGACTTTATATCTCGCAATTGCGACTTTATTTCTCACAATTCTGACTTAATATCTCGCAATTGTGAGATAAAAAGTCGCAATTATTATTATAATTTTTTATTCAGTGGCGGAAACATACAGGAGACAGCAAGTGAAACTTAACAATCTTAACGAGTCCTCCGAAGGCAGCATTTATCAGTTTTCGGACGTAGCCATTTTCTTTGGTAGGTTGAACAAATTCTGCCGTCGCTGTAATCCCTAAAGCCCCGTTCACACTACAAGCGACAAAGCGGCACGATACCATTCATTTCAATGGGGAGCTGGCGATTTCCGGCGCGACAGCGACCGTTGGCGACCGGATGGGGCGTGTCTGGAGACGCGACAAAGTTGAGATCTGTTTAACTTTATGCAAATGAAGAGCGACTTTCGGGAGCGACAACCAATAGGAGCAATATTTACGACATAAATAAAAACGACATTGCATATTATAAATGCATATACACTCACCAGCCACTTTATTAGGTACACCTGTCCAACTGCTCGTTAACACTTAATTTCTAAGCAGCCAATCACATGGCGGCAACTCAGTGCATTTAGGCATGTAGACATGGTCAAGACAATCTCCTGCAGTTCAAACCGAGCATCAGTATGGGGAAGAAAGTTGATTTGAGTGACTTTGAACGTGGCATGATTGTTGGTGCCAGAAGGGCTGGTCTGAGTATTTCAGAAACTGCTAATCTACTGGGATTTTCACGCACAACCATCTCTAGGGTTTACAGAGAATGGTCCGAAAAAGAAAAAACATCCAGTGAGCGGCAGTTCTGTGGGCGGAAATGCCTTGTTGATGCCAGAGGTCAGAGGAGAATGGCCAGACTGGTTCGAGCTGATAGAAGGGCAACAGTGACTGAAATAACCACTCGTTACAACCGAGGTATGCAGCAAAGCATTTGTGAAGCCACAACACGCACAACCTTGAGGCGGATGGGCTACAACAGCAGAAGACTCCACCGGGTACCACTCATCTCCACTACAAATAGGAAAAAGAGGCTACAATTTGCAAGAGCTCACCAAAATTGAACAGTTGAAGACTGGAAAAATGTTGCCTGGTCTGATGAGTCTCGATTTCTGTTGAGACATTCAGATGTTAGAGTCAGAATTTGGCGTAAACAGAATGAGAACATGGAACCATCATGCCTTGTTACCACTGTGCAGGCTGGTGGTGGTGGTGTAATGGTGTGGGGGATGTTTTCCTGGCACACTTTAGGCCCCTTAGTGCCAATTGGGCATCGTTTAAATGCCACGGCCTACCTGAGCATTGTTTCTGACCATGTCCATCCCTTTATGGCCACCATGTACCCATCCTCTGATGGCTACTTCCACCATGTCACAAAGCTCTAATCATTTCAAATTGGTTTCTTGAACATGACAATGAGTTCACTGTACTAAAATGGCCTCCACAGTCACCAGATCTCAACCCAATAGAGCATCTTTGGGATGTGGTGGAACGGGAGATTCGCATCATGGATGTGCAGCCGACAAATCTGCGGCAACTGTGTGATGCCATCATGTCAATATGGACCAAACTCCCTGAGGAATGCTTCCAGCACCTTGTTGAATCTATGCCACGAAGAATTGAGGCAGTTCTGAAGGCAAAAGGGGGTCCAACCCGTTACTAGCATGGGGTACCTAATAAAGTGGCCGGTGAGTGTATTTTTACCTTTTTACCTATGTAACACCAGGCTGAGGTGGTATAAAGATATATAGAAATAATAGGACAGGCATGTCGACTTGGTTGCATATAAATTAGTGCTGGGTAACGATTAATCGCATCCAAACTAAACGTTTGTGTTTACATAATATATGTGTGTGCTGTGTATAATTATTTTGTATATATTAATGCATTAAAGAAATATTTACATGTATATACTGTAGGCCTATACATATTAAAAAATAATTTATATTACATATAAACATTTTTCTTAAATATATACATGCATGCGTGTATTTATATTATGTAAACACAAACTTTTATACACAGTACACACACATATTATAAAAATTTTTTTTTTTTGGATGCGATCAATTGTTGCCCAGCACTAATATAAATATATATATACAGGTATATATTTACCTTTCGTTAGGTCGGTGTAACGCCAGGCAACATGGTGAATGCCAGTGAATAACAAATTTATTTGTCAAAAACCAATTACTTATAAAAAAGTTTTAGCACAGTAGGTTTAATGCGTGATTGATACGGCAAGGAGATTCTGCAATTAATGTCTGTATTTATGTTTAATCTGTATTTAAAAAAATAATTATTCTGTAATATGTTTACATGAGCTCTGCGATTCACAAGCATCATGTCAACAGATGAGCTAATTACAATTACACTGTTATGATAGTTTGATTAAGTATATTTGAAGGATAGAAAGGCTCTCAGGAGCGCGTAAACGTCATATCCTTTTGATATTCGCGGCAAAAACTTCCCGAGTCCTTTAAATAAAAATCAGTCCTAGAAAGTTTGGGAAGGTCTCGTTTTTAAATTTCGTTACAAGTTGTTCACACACTGTCAATAAAAATATATTCTTACATATATACAGCCCCTTTACGTTTCATTGTAGATCATACATACACAATTAAGACAATAAAGCAACGAGACCTGCGTTGGGTGAAAGTAAGCAACATTTATTTGTAAAGTTACAAGTACATACTGTGGGGGTGAAAACTCTTTCCACAAAACAAAATCCTGAATTATACTTAATATCCTGATATTTTTCCAGTGTCCCTCTTCAATGCAAGTTAATGTATTGTACATTTCGATCAAATCTGATATCTGAATGCAACTTTCGCAGCACTTCCTAATCTTCAGGCATGATCTCTTCATCATACTCGGTCATAACCACAATATATCACTATGGATCACCTTGGCCTGAATATCTCATTGTCATTGGCAACCATTTGGCTGATGTTATATCAAATCTGAGCATTGATATTTACAGTTGAAGTATGAAAACAAAACTGTTTTAAGGACTTTTAGAGAACGAGTTGACTCTAAAAGGAGAGGTTAACATGGAAAAGATGGTGAGCAGAACGTCAAAACGTCCCTGATACAACATTTTTGCAACGTTGGTTATGAATGAATCATGATTGTCTTGTGGGCAAAGAAAAAGTAAAGCAAAACGGTGCATACGTGAGCTTAAAATGAATCTGTGCTAGATGCTATAAAATGCAAGTGGTGATGCTTCGAAGTAATATTAAACAGTCAAAAGTGTTGCAAATATGGAGTAACAGCAAGGTATAAACACTCCAAAGTAAAAGTACAAAGTTGAGGCGACTGGCGTCGGTCGGAACAGATGTTAAAAAGCTGCCATAAAACTCTGAATGGGTCTGTGGAAACCAAATAAAGTCGAGCAATTTCCACACAGAGAGGTTTCGAGAAATTCACGTCAGATCATACAAATAAAAATGAGCTACTAAGAAGGGGGAGGGGGAACAAAACCAAATAAGCAACTAGAACAGGGGGAAAACAAAGCAAAACTACAATCTATCACTAATAATAATAATAAAAATAATAATAATGGAGGAAGGGCAGTCTGGAAACACACATACATACACACACACACACCTCTGGTTGGCATTTACCGCCGCTCTCATTGACATCATCATCATCATCATCATCATCATCATCATAAAGCAAGAGAGCACGACGGCGCCTCTTACGGTCAGACACTAAAACAGCGAGAATCTCACCTGTCTGTCCTTCGCATGGGTCTCCGATCTCCGTCTGCTTTCTTTGAGGTGCACCTGGTCGTTTTCACCTTTAACTAAAGCGATTGGGGCGCGACAATATTATGATGGCGTCCTGATTGGACAGAATAGAAGTGGGAGGGGTTTCCTGTGATTGACACTTGTCTCATAATAAATCACATTTGATGATCTCACACACTGAAGTTTCTAACCCTTGGAAACCTGATTGTGACTTTTTTTTTTTTTTTGACTGACCAAGGCAAGAATCCTGTTGGTTTTGATTGATTTTTTAGTTTTAGTTTTTTTTTTTATTGTTGTAGCAAGGTAAGAGATTTAAGAAGCCACATCTAAATCAAGCAGGCTAATCGAGCGGTTCTACTTCACTGTTTTTATTCTAGTTGAACAAAAAAAACATTTTTTTTTTTTTTTAAAAGAGGAAAATAAGAAAGGATAGATCCGTCGGCCCCTTCCGCGTCAGCTCTGCAGAGACCAAACATTTAAAAAGAAAAGAGAAAGCCATTTCTACCCCTTTTGCTTTCGCAAATCACCTAGCAGAGAGCGGCTAAGATGTGACGGGCCTTCGGATACACGGCACCTCTTACCCTCCTTCAGGCGGAAAACCTTCCTCAAAGTTGAATCGTCCTTCAGAGCGCCCTAGCACCTTTCGTTGGAGACTAGCGTGCTCGGGAAAACGCGAAATTAAACGCCAAAACACTCGTCCGTTCTCTCAAAGATGTTCGGTGGTAGAACCTGAATGTCAGATGTCAACTTTGAGGGGAACTCTATTTTCCCCCAAATCAGCTGCTTGAAAAGCGTTTATAATTACTTTAAATACGTCACCCCCTCTCTCAGCTCGTGGAGACGACAGAGCAAGCGTGGTTTTTGCAGGTAAGTTTTAAGAGAACTTCATCTTTACTCCTCCTCTGTTGGCAGGGCAAGGCCTGAGGCTGACGTCGACAGCCAGGCGAGAGAGAGAGGAGGCCGGGAAGGGTCCCTGCGCTCCAGGAGCCTCCTCCACGTTGCGGAGTTGCAGATCGAAGATCTCGTGTTTCGTCTCCTCCTAACACTGCGTCTCCCCTCTCCTTCCCCGTCCTCAACGAATGGTGGATGTAATCCGCCACTCACACGTTCTCTTTCGTCCTGTCCAGCTTTACTCCCCTCCTGTGATTGGTTTGATTCTCTCCTGTTGCTCTCACACCATGGTGCTTCAGTTGTAACAGTGGTAAACGGGCATCCATGTTTGTTCTTTTTTTATATTTACCCATATTTAAAATGCTGATGAACTAAGCTCAGCACAGGCCTAGCTCCTGTTCCAACAACCTGCGGACACAGGGAGAGAAACACATGTTTTATTACATGCATAAATAGCCAAACAAAAGACCAAAAAATTGAACAGAATATATATATATATATATATATAATCTTGAAAGTTGTAGGTGCAATAATAAATAAATAGATTTGCCCATCATTTTAAAAGTGAGACAAAAGAACAGTGTATTTTTACATATATGTAAAAATATATTGTGTCACAATATACAGGTGAAACTCGAAAAATTTGATTATCGTGCAAAAGTTAATTTATTTCAGTAATTCAACTTAAAAGGTGAAACTAATATATTATATAGACTCAAAGTGAGATATTTCAAGCCTTTATTTGTTATAATTTTGATGATTATGGCTTACAGTTATGAAAAGCTTTTCACAATATTCTAATTTTGAATTTGGGGTTTTCATAAGCTGTAAGCCATAATCATCAAAATTATAACACATAAAGGCTTGAAATATCTCACTTTGCATGTAATGAGTCTATATAATATATTAGTTTCACTCTTTAAGTTGAATTACTGAAATAAATTAACTTTTGCACCATATTCTAATTTTTTGAGTTTCACCTGTATCATCACAATACAAAAATGCAACAATATGTATCGTGGATAGTGACAATATGAAGAGTTTGGTTCCAAAACGCAATAAATCCATTTAGATTAATTTGAGTAAAAATGTGTTTTCTTTACCAAGAAAGTGGAAAGATGAAAACCACTATTTTCTGTTTCAAACTTTCACATAGCATTTGTAGATCATAATAACAAAAAAAAATTAAAATCCAGGTTTTGATTTTCAAAGATTTATTATAATAACAGATACATTTTTCCCCCCCAAAATGCAATAAATCCATTTTTTTTAAAAAAATCAAAATGCAATTAATCCATTGAATCAATATAAATGTTTTTTTTTTTCATATTGAAACTGTTGAAAATACACAACAACGTAAGTTTATTAGTATAATATTTTAATTAAGAACTGTAAAGAAGATTGAAAACATTTTTCCTCCTCCCGAGTGCCTCATCTTCTTAATCTCCTCACGTAAATGATTCGATTTCGATGCCTTACGTTTCTCACCCACCGCAGAAACAACCACAGGTTCATCAATGCCGTCAAAATTATTATTTTTTTTGTTTGTTTGTTGATCGAAAAGTACAAAATAGATAAGAAGAACTGGAAGCCGGGTGTATTTAAGGCGCTGCCGCTACTGTTTACATTGCGTGGAATGGTGCGTTGTGATTGGCTGAGAGTGGATATATCGCATTCTGCAGAGAAGGGAGACTGGCGTTTGTCGCGGTTTGGAAAAAAAGGGAGAAAACATGACAGAATAACACGGCGGATATCGCATTTTACTTAAAATTAAACAATACCAACCAGATACAATACTGATTTTTGCAGTAACTAATTTTTTTTTAACGCATTTTGGAACCAAACTCTTCATATGTAAAAAACACAAAGATCTTGAAAGGTGTAGGCGCTTTTAAATTTGCTCAAAAATAGATTGGCCCATCATTTTAAAAGTCTGTCTGATTCATGTGTGAGTAGACAAAAAAAGCACATAATATAAAAGTTTTTTTTTTGGTGTCTAAGTCATCCAGGCATCAATCACACCAACCAGACATGTAAATTAATGCACACTATCATTCAAAAGTTTGGCGTTGCTAAGATTGTATGGTTTTTGAAAGAAGTCTCTTATGCTCACCAATGATGCATTTATTTGATAAAAAATAACCGATATTTAAAATAGCTGTTTTCTATTGTAATATATGTTAAAATGTAATTTATTCATGTGATGCAAAGCTGAAATTTCCAGCATCATTACTCCAGTCTTCAGAGTCACATGATCCTTCAGAAATCACTCTAATATGATGACTTGATGCTCAAGAAAAAGAAATTTAGGATCCTTTGGTGAATAGAAAGTTCAAAAGAACTGTGTTTATTTCAAATAGAAACTTTTGTACATTATAAATGCCTTTAATATCAGTTCTTTTGATCTATCTAATGCATCCTTGCTGAATTAAAGTATTAATTTCTTACAATATATATATATTTATTACGGACCCCAAACTTTTAAATGGTAGTGTATGTGTGGTCTTCTAAGATGTGTGTGTGTGTGTTGTTGTCTTACACTCTAGTACTGTGAGAGTCCAGTCACTCCTCCGTGCTGATAAGCCCGTTCGCCCTGGTAGGTTGAATCCTGGGAGAGCGCCACATCCATCTGGGATTTAAACTCATCACCCAGGTAGCTGTCCTGTTCCACACAGAAGACCCACACAACTTTAGCACAGATTCAAATGGCTTACAGCTTATATAAAATAGTGCAACTTCAATAAGCAAACCATGTTCAAGCGATTTCCATGTTTCATAGTGAAAAAACAACAACATTGATCTTGACTGAGAACGGCTGGTTGCGTTTTCATTACAGATTTGCGCAAAAACTTTCGCAATATTTTCTTAATGTCGATAAAAAACGATTGCAAAATTATGGCGTTTCCATTAACTTATGTTAATGCAACTAAAATGTCGTTTTTTCCTCTTCCAAAATCATGGCAATGGACGTTGGTAGGTTTAAATACGGTATATCCCAGCCACCGTACTACCCATTATTTTTAATGGAAGGAGACCGTGTTATTCAAGCATTAATGGCAAGGAAAGCGCCTTATACTTGTGAGCGACACATATGAGGCGTTTCTGAGTGTTTCTCCCTCATATCTGCTTCAAGGTCTTGATGAATTGTAGCATTTCTTTGTTGTTGAGAATCCAGTATTCCCATGATACTTTTGTCTTTTCTGAGTTTAATAAAGAACTGTCTCGTCTTCTGCACAAACATGCCGCGCCTTCTTTAAAGAATGACTTTTACGTACCCCAGGTGACCTGTAAATGCGAAAAACCTGTGTGTGATATATTCCTTTTTCGAGTTGCCTGTAAAACCACCTCATTCGAGCGTAAAAACGTTTTTGCGATATATGGGAGTTTTTTGCAAAATTGACACGTTTCCAAATTCGCAGTATCAATTTGCGCAATTTGAAGGGTAATAGAAACGCGGGTATTTATGATTTGGGCAATAATAGATCATGTCTTTTAAAAAATAATCATAAAGACATTTTGCTCTTCATCCTGTTTAAGAGCTTATATAAATGACAGGCATCTTGAAAGCACAACAGGTTTGTGTGAATATATTCATATGTATATACATTTAAGATAATTTATCTCTGAAATGTACTAAAGAATAATGGTAAAATGCTGTCAAATATGGTCCCAATAAATGAAAAGGCACCTAATATGCTTTTTATGTTGGTTGGAGTTCATTTCGAGAGTACAAAACAGCTTATCCCTAGTACTTGGCTTTAAAAAAAATGACGGGTGCTGGTGTTTCGCATGTGTTCGACCAATCAGCGCACACTACAGTACAGATAGTTCCTACAATGCTGGGTTAGACCCAACTCTGAAGTAGTACCCAAAAAGACGTTCCTAGAACTAAAATTGTTCCTAGTTCCTGCGGTGCCACAAGCGGGTACTTCCGCCATTAGTTCTAGGAACTATGAAAAGGTTCCTCTGGTGCGAAAGCCCCATTGCAATGCATTACTTTTAAAAGTAACTTTCCCCAACACTGCTAGCAGACCCCAAAAACATAAGTATGAACATGTAAACGAGCCTAACATGGGCACTTTAAACTCAAATGCTGAGGTGGCACACCGAGTCAGAAATTTTCCTCCGCGTTTTTTCGTATTCATCATTCGGTGGCTCTGAGTTGTTAAAACACCTCTCAAAATGCTTGCTACGGATGCAGAAAATCGAACCCGATCCGATTTTTTTTTAATGACGGACGAAAGTTTCGGAGGCAGTGTGTAAGCGTGACTGACATAACGTGAGGTTGTATTTATTTTTTAACATGTTACCTTAAGCCTGGAACACACCAAGCCGACGCCGACGAACTAGCGCTGATGAAAGCCGACTGTGTTGTCGCCTCGTGTCGGGGTAAAGCTGCACTTGAACACACTGAGAGAACTACTGCCGACTGTCAGCTAGCGTTAGTTCTGCGCTGGTGTGTAAATGAGGCAACTGTCTATTTCTGCAGATATTTTCGTCTATATTCGTCATTCAAAAAGGGAAACCGACCCTCCCGGCTGCAGATACACACACCGTAAACAAAGCAGTGTGTGGTTAGCGTTTTGAATATCAATCCTGCTAAACACTTTCTTTATTCCACTCCGCTCGTGTTAATATTGAAATATTCGCCAAGGAACACTCAGGTAAGATGACGTAACACTAGAATAGCCTCTATCTGTACCGTTTCGACTTCTTTCCTCGCTGTTTTGCTATTATTCTCGTGCACTGACTCGCTCGCTAAGCTGAACAGCCAATCAGAGTTCTCTCTCACCGACGGCCCGACGCCGATTCAACATGTCAAATCGGCCGAAAAAAAGCAGACGAGGACCAACTTCAGAACACACTGACAAAACTTAGTCGGACGACGCACAAAACCTGCCAGACGGCCGACCGTCGGCTAGGTGTGTTCTAGGCTTTAAAGTGTGTGTACCTGTGAGAGCTCAGGCTGGGACAGGCCAGGCTGGCTCATCTGTGAAGGCTGGCTCATGGTGATGTAGCCCTGGGTCAGAGGACCCTGAGAGAAGGGCTGGGACACCAGATCCTGACTGGCCTGGCTGCTCGGCATGTTGGCCTGCCCACTGCCATGGTTGCCCGTGCCACGGTTCCTCTGGCGACCTCCACGACCCCCGGTCTTACCTTTAGGAGCACCACGACCTGTAAGCAGCGAGAGAACCGATTAATATCGGGATCAGTGTTATTTTAATATCATTAAGATACTAAAATAGCTTTCATGAATATTTTGAATTAGCTTTTATTTTTATGTTTTCCATTTAATTTTTTATTTCAAGTTTAAGTAATTTTGGTGTGTTTAAAAAAATACGTCTAATAAATTTTTACTTCAGTTTAAGTTTGTAGTTATTTTAGCACATCGAGTTAAACTAAATGAAAAAGGAATTTTTCCTTTAAATTTAAAAGCGTTAGTTTTTTAATTAGTTTTTATTTTTTAGATTTTCCATTTTCTTTCTAGTTAAAGTTATAGTAATTTTGCTTTTTTTCATGTTTATCAATCATTTTTATTTTAGTTTTTAGTACATCATGATAAATGAAAATGAGAAATGTTTTCTTTTAAGTTTTTTTTTATATTTTATTCCAGTTAGCATTTATTTTATTTAAAGTAACATGTTTTTTTTAAAATGCTTTTAGTTTTAGTTATCCATAATAACCCTGATCGTGATTTGATTCTGCTTCACTTCTCATTGCTCTATTCATAACGTTATAATCTATCTCTTTCCCAAAGGCCAGTTTCTACACTATTGTGGAATTGTTTTGAACAAAAAAAGTTCTCTTATAATGTTAGTCAATGTTTCCTGCTCAAAAACAGTTGTAATTGAGTGTTTGGGGTTTTCTCTCACCTGCAGCGGGTCCGTTCACCTGGCCCAGGTACCCGGGCGGAGGCATGGGCGGCATGACAAGATTGAACGGGATGGGAATGTTCATGGAGCCCATAGGGTTCGGTCCGGTCCCGATCATGCCAACCTGATCATGGGTCTGGAAGTACATATTAGATGGACGACCTGTAAACACAGACAATGAGATAAAAATAAACATTTCAAAAGCAAAAACAACAGAATAACACAGGAATCATCTGGTTGATGCTTAAACTAACCCATTAGATTATATTAAGTATGTCAATTTACACATATTCCCATAATCGATCATCAAAGGTACAAACCTTTTAAATCTGAAGCAAGAGGCGCTAGCTACTAAGTTATCACATGTTGTGTTGTTTTAAAGCTTAGTAGTTTGGCTTTACAGTGAATATTTATAGGGAATATGACTATCACTTAACAAGTGCCTTTAAAGTTGCTGACATATTAGAAGTGCTCTATTTTCATAGTGTAAAAAAATAACTGCTTTACATGAAAATGTGATCTGTAAAATCATTGAACATACATAACAGATAGACTTGAGTCATATATCGTTGAAATACAGAATATAACAAGCATATTTGTTTCAGTTAGAGACCAAATACCAAGTACTTGATGTTTTGTATTAAATCTATTATTTTCTGATGTTTTTATTTTGATATATTTTATTAGTATTGACATTTTATTGTATGACGATATTTTGTTATGTCTGTTGTGCAGCACTTTGGTCAGCATTCATTGTTGTTGTTTTAAGGTGCTATATAAATAATTATGACCTTGACCTTGTATGAAAAAGCGCAGATGAACAAACACATGATGCTTCTGCGCCGGACGAGCCCAAACACAACATAAGACAATGTGTAGATCAGGGAGTGACATTAACATACTGCATCGCTAAAGCTATAGGACTTCTGGGATCTGATCATGACGCAGTGTTTTCCTACGTCTTTTGAAAGTTCAACCAATGAAAACTGGACCTCGGGTGTGCTGGTAGGGGCGATGTGTAGAGACCAATCAGATCGCTTAGATAGACAGGTCTCAATTTACTGTGCGCCATAGAATAGAAGATCACCATCCGGTCCTTGTCTTTATTCCATGTACTTCCAATATGGCGTTTACACAAGTAAGTAGTTCTTATATTCAGTAAAATCACTTGTTTGGAGGGTTTTTGGACGCTTGGTTAATAATGTTTTAAAATAAACGGCTAACCTACCTAATAGAGAGCCTAAGCCCCTCCCCTTCCGGTCGACCACCACGGGACCTTATTTCGGAAAAATATTGTATGGTAGTCTATGGCGAGAGACAACAAATATTTTGATCTCGTTTGAATTGTGCCCTGAATTACACATATGATGTTTGTAAATTTAAAAGATACATTTTAAAGTCAAGAAAGTCGCAGTTTGATGTGAAACTGTTGAGGGATAAGACTGTGAAAATACGTAATTACAAAGACTACAAACCCCAAAGGCGCACATTTTCTCTCAATGAGTGAAGCTAACTTTACTGAAGCTAACTTTACTGAAGCTAACTTTACTGAAGCTAACTTTACTGATGCTAACATTACTGAAGCTCACTTTACTGAAGCTAACTTTACCGAAGCTAACTTTACTGAAGCTAACTTTACTGAAGCTAACTTTACCGAAGCTAACTTTACTGAAGCTAACTTTACTGAAGCTAACTTTACTGAAGCTAACTTTACTGAAGCTAACGTCTGTCATTGTTTCTATAGTCTTCCGTTATAATCGTAACGTTACGCCGTCACGCCTGAGTGTTTTGTACCAGACTGCACACACATGAGCAGCGGATCTCGCTCGTTGTTTCGCTTCCCGGGAGATGTAGTTCATTGAGCGATTTTCACATAAAACTTAATGTTACTCTTCTGTTTCATGACAAACTGCGACTTTCTTGACTTTCAGAATTATCTTTTAAATTGACAAACATCATATGTGTAATTCAGGGCCCAGTTCAGACGGAATAAAAAGATAAGTTGTCTCTCGCCATTGACCACCATAAATATTTTTTCCGAAATAAGGTCCCATGAGCCGGAAGCGGAGGGGAGGGGCTTAGGCTCTCTATCCATTGCATGGCTTGAAGACATTAATACATATAGAATACATAACTACGTATTTCTACTTCAAAACTACTTAATATCTCTTTGTGAATCTGATGCACGTGTTCGCACGCACCTCAAAACTACACACGCTAATGATGACCTTGCTTAATCGACCATCAATTAAATTATTATCGTCAATAAATCGATCGTCAATTAATCGTTAGCATCCCTACTTTATATTAACCAACAAGAAAAATAAGAGCTTTATTCTAAATAAGAAACTACATTAATTCATAGCAACTATAGTGTCTTGATGAGCAATGGCTTATTCAATTCACATTTATTTGTATAGCGCTTTTCACAATCCACATCGATTCAAAGCAGCTTTACAGAAAAGTCCACATTACAATTTAGAGTGATCTGTTATCAGAGGAAACTGTCTAAGTTATTACGTTTTGTATATGTATATTTTCAGAAATGTACATATACAAATCACAGTTAGCTAAAAATGTATTAATTTAAACAAAGTAATAATTTAAGGCAGAAACAACGAGCTCATTGAAGAAATTAATTTGTTGAGTTTGTTAACAAATGATTATGACAATATTAAGCTTATGATCATATTCTCACCAGTGTTGCTGCGGTCATACACAGATCCAGGAATCATGGCCTCTCTCGCATCATACATGGCAGTACTCATGAAACGTGCTCCCTGAAACACACAATTACACTATTAGGAGGAGGATTTTGCTACTTATGTGTGTTCTGGTTCCTCCTTTGAAATGTATTGGTCACTTTGGGAGTGATAATGTAAATATTAGAAGTTACAGATGCATTTAAAGTCCCCCTGTGGTGAAAATCCAGCTTTTAATGTTGTTTATATGTCTATGTGGTGTTTTTAATATGCTTTAAGACAAACCATTTGTAAATTCATAAGTCGACAGCATTGCTGAGTATTTTCCGCTTAAAACAAAAGACAGTCTCAAAAACACGGTTTGAAATCGCTGGTGTTTCTGACGTCACAAACGACCTTGTAACCAATCAGATCAACGTGTGATCGTCAACCAGTGGATCTCTGAGCTGAGTGAGTGAGTGGAGGCGGGGCTCATTTGCATATTCATAGAACTGTTAAATATGTCATTTTGGTGATCAAAGATGAGTTTTAAGGGATAAAGTGATCGACTACAGGGGGACTTTAAGCCCTTAAAATGCTTATTTCAAGCTGCATTATGCAACTGCTTATTACTAAAATGAAATTGTAATTAACCAGCTTTGCATGTATGCATGTCATGTACGTAAAAGACAATTTCTGAGCCAGAGGAAATCTTGATATGTAGTCTTTACTCACAGGGTTGATGGTGTTGACCAGCTTGCGTGGTTTGCTGAACTGCATGAGACTCTCTCTCAGGTTATTGAGCGGACCCTCCACCAGAACCTTCTGCTCCTTGTAGTAATTCAGCAGGTGGTTCCACAAAGGCTGCTTGGACAGAGCCTTAGGATTGCCCACAATGATCACGCCATATCTGTACACATACACACAAAATTGTGCATCTAATCAGAGCAATTCTACATTATTTACACACAAATTTTCCTTCTCACTCAAAGGGTGCTTTCACACCTGTAGTTCGGTTCATTTGGTCCGGACTAAGGGCGAAAAATGATACTTTGTATCATTTTCAGGCGTTTTGGTTCCTTTTCACACCACACTGATTGCTCTGGTCCGAATCAGATGATGAGTTGATGAAACGAACCAAAATGCAGTCACGTGACAACATCCACATCACTCGTTGGCCAGAGGTAACTGCACTTCGATTGGTCAGAATCAACGTGCGGGAAAATTCCAGAGCTCCCGGAAGTAAACAAAGAGGAGGAAAATCCGGCAGACAGCGTTTGACTATGGAGAGTCTACGACTGCGTGGGCTGATAGTATCCCTGGTCATAGTATATTACTTTAGGCAAACAATTACATTTCATAATGAATCGAGGATGCGGCTTGAACAAAATGTTTTAATGCACTGCACGCGGCGAAGTCGCACCTCCTCAGAACTCCACGTTTGTCCGCGAGCTGCATGCTAGTGCAAAATGTCAACAAACATTATTCCTCATCCCATAAAACACAGCGCGGCTGACTACGGCAGCTGGTTTAGTCCAAAAATACGCAGTTCTCTGACAGTTGGGTCTGTTCGAGTTCGGATCACGTTCTCACCACAAACGAACCGCTCCAGAGTTCGTTTGAAAGCGTACCGAGACCACCTCTTCGAGGAGGTCTCGGTACGCTTGTTTGGTCCGCTTTTGGTGCGCACCCGAGTGCGATTGCTGCTTTCACACCTACCCAAACGAACCGCACCAATTCGGAAAACGAACTCTAGTGCGATTCAACCGAACTAAACAAGGCAGGTGTGAAAGCACCCAAAGTCTGCTGTTGTTACCTGGCTCTGGTTAGCGCCACATTGAGACGACGTGGGTCGTTCAGGAAGCCGATGCCCTGGTGCTCATTAGCTCTGACACAAGACAGGATGATGAAGTCCTTCTCTCTGCCCTGGAACGCATCTACACTGGCGATCTCCACCTCCTGCAGACACACAGAGGTCAATACATCACTGACATGCTGCTGTCCGTGTGCCAAACAGCCATTAATCAACAGCCCTGTGTCTAATCTAATCTAATCATCTGGCAAATGCAAGGAAATGGTCTATTCTTCTCTCCCTAATTTTGCCAAAGTCTAAATGTAAGAATCAGGGTCCATATTCACAGAATTCTTCTTAAAAAGAAGAGATTAAAATTATTAAATCTATTATTAAAGATATATCCAGTAAGAAAGAACAATTCTTAAAAAAGAAAATTCAAATATTTAGCAACACTTTACTAAGCCTTTATGTGTAATGCATTTTACAGGTGTTCATAATGTTCGTTATAATGCATTATATTATTTCATAAATAATTGTAACCAAAATTAAAATGCATTATAATATTCAGATTCCTTGTTACATCTGAAATTGGTTGTTTATAAACTTTCTAAAGGTGTATTAGAACTGTAGTTGCAATTATTCATGAGACCATGCAATGCATTATAAGGTGCATTACAAGGCATAATTAATGCATTTTTATGATGCAATATATATAAAGACTTCAAGTAAAGTGTTACTGATTATTTTTAAGAATTAATTATTATTATTTTTAAAGAACATTCTTAAGAAGTTTTTTGGGAATACAAATTATTTGTTATCAAGTCAGAAAATAAGGAAATAGCCGTTTAGATTTTTATTCTTAAAACTATTTAGTGAATCCAGCCCCAGAGCAGATTTGGGTTCAATAGCTTGGGCTGAACTCCATCTGCAAGCATGTTTAAAAGCGGTTTTGACTTTGTACCTGGTAGAGTTTGGTGTGCAGTGAGCCGCTGAACTGCATGTACTGCACCAGGTAAGAGCGCTGGCCCTCGTACGGCGTGATAATGCCAATCTGGTCAGGCTTAGCTCCGGCCTTCAGTAGACGAGTGGTGATCTTCTCCACATTAGCAGCTTCAGTCCTAAAAACAGAGACTTGATTTTATCAGACCGACCCTTTGAATGAGCTTTATCTAATGCTGGTAACAAGGAGTGTTTACAAATGAGCTTATACATTTTCAAAGGTTTCTGTTATTCCAGTAGTCACATATAACCAGACTTCATCAACATAATTTGATTCTGGCTAAGAGCTGCACATTTTTACAGGACTATCTGACATATTAAAAAAAGTCAGTTTTAAGTGTCTCTGATTTCAGACAGAATTACTATAACATGATTCCGTTCTTTACTGAGGTTGAAAATTATATTTTGGTCCGTATATTTTATATAAGTAATTACCCTCCAAGTAATTTAAACAGGAACTGCTATAAGGTCAACACATGGTAACGCTTCCTTTTACAGTACAGTACTTACGTGTACTTACCTAGAAAGTACTGGCTAATATAAGGTAAGTACATGGGTTAGGGGTAGGTTCAGGGTTAGTAGTACCTAGTTATTACCCAGTAATTGTAATTACTATAATAAGCACATATAGTATGTACATGGGTAACAGGACTGTAAAAGGAAGCGTTACCCAACACATAATGATTCAATCCCCCAGTAAGCAAGCCAGGAGATGTATTGTTTATTTGATGGAAATATTCTATGAGAAATATTCAATTATGAAACTTGCAAACTTAGCCAAATTTGACCAGTGACTACTAGTCTTGCTGTTTTGAGAAAGCTCTTGGCATTTTTGTGTGCAATGTGCATCGGATATTTGTGGTGCATGTCTTTTGCGAATGGGATATCACATGCAAATGTACCTGTTGAGATAGGAGGTGCCAGAGCTTGCGATCTCCTCCTGACCCTGAGTCACGTAGAAAAACATGGGCTTATCCGGCTGAGGCCACTGGAAGTCAAAGCCTTTCTTGATGCGATCGGCTGAAGAGAAATAGAACATTATTAATGTGGCGACACTTTCTGTTTCAATATACTACCGGTCAATAAATACAATTTAAAATAACTTCTAATTTAATATATTTTAAAATGTAATTTATTGATTTACTGCAGATTTTTAGGCAGATTAATACTTCTTTAAAATTTATTTGTTTAATATGAATTTTAAATGTTACAAAACAGTTACAAAACGATTTGAAAAATGTTACAAAAGATTCTAAATAAACGCTGTTCTTTTTAACTTTCTATTCATCAAAGAATCCTGAAAAAGAATATTAAGCAGGACAACTTGTTTTCAACTAGCGTGCCGCACAAACCCTGAAAAGTGAAGCCAAAACGTCTCGATCGCTGATGTAATTTCAAGTGTTTGTTTTTAAAATAAGTTTGTTTTTAGTTAGTTATTTGATGCGGTGGTGTGACGTCATGATTGACAGCTGTGATTGACAGGTTCTCTGAGCGAAGTAGTCACTGAAGCACCAACAGACTTTTTTTCGGGATCTTCAGAAGACTGAGGAGATTGGAGCTTTAAATTTAATATATACATTTCTATAATTAAATTTTTTTTAGACACTAAACCCACTAGATTTAAATAGCCAGTAGACAACAGCCACCGCTGTAGCACCTGTTTTAAAACTACTTGCTTGACTTGCTTGAAGAAAAAAGAAAGAAAGAAAACTTCCATAAAAAAAGAAATGGCTGAATCGTGGTCAGTGGACGAAGTGCAGACGTTCCTCTCGTTGGTTGCCGAGGAGCGGATAAACTATAACGGTCCGACTATAATCCCACCCACTTTGAAGCGGTACTAACTGCAGTAGAAAAGCGAACCGAGCTAAAGCAAAGCGAGCCGAGCCATGCCGTGCTGAGCCGAGTCGTACCAAGCAGTGGAAAAGCGAAGCGAGCCGAACCGTGCCGAGCCGAACCGTACTGAGCCGTACCAGCAGTGGAAAAGCGCCATATGGTTTTCAACATTGATAATAATTGAGCACCAAATCAGTAAATTAGAATGATTTCTAGAAGATCATGTAGCAGTGAAGACTGGAGTAATGATGCTTTGCATCAAATTAATAAATGACAGTAATAATATTTCACAATATTAATGTCTTTACTGTATTTTTGATCTAATAAATGTACCTTTGGTGCGCAGGAGAGACTTCTATCAAAACATGCATTTAAAAAAATATCTTATATATCTTTGGTAGTGTATAATTAACCAAATCTATCTATACTGGCCAATCTAAAATCAACCGTGTGAGAACTATATGCAAAGCGAAAATAACGTACCGGCAGTGACCCCGTTCTGCAGAGAACCCTCATAGAAGATATTTGAAGGGAAAGCGCTGAGTGCCGGGTGCATGCGGTACTGCACCTGCAGACGGATGGGTCTGATGCCCAGAACCACCAGCCTCTCAAACAGAGACTGAGAAAGACCTGCTTTAGCCGCCTTCTTGCACATGACCACAGGACCCAACTGGCAGTGGTCACCCACCAGAATCAGCTGTCAAAGGGAGAGCACAGTACAGTTACTACCAGAGAAAATATACACTTTTCTGGAATATAATCAAATAAAAAAATGTTAATCTCTGAAATTTGCTTAATTTATAATCCAAAGCGACTAACAATGAAATTAACGTTAAGCATAAGCACGCAAAGTGCACACTCATATTTATATAAAAGTTTTAATTTCCACCTTTTGTCCACTTTTAATCCCATCCTTTAATGTGGTACAGTAGAAAAACACTGTATATGAGATCATTAATGATCTCATATACAAAGTCAATAGTTGGCAAATTAAAAATGACTGGTTTAATGAATGTTTTATCTCATAGGTTTCAGTTTTTATCTCTCCACACATTTAACTTTAACACAGTCTGTGCTTAATAGGCAAAGTAAGGCCTCGTTTATACCGTCTTGACGCCCAATTCTGATTTGTTGCCTATATCCGATTATTTTTTTGACCGTCCGTTTACTCATTCTTTTAATTGTGACACATATCCGATTCATGCGTTTACACTTGACATAGATCTGAAACATCACGCGTGCTTAAAGGGGGTTCTTGAACAGATGGACGAACGTGAAATATGCTTCATGCTAGCTTTGTGATATATGTGAAGTTCTCCATGATTTTGAGGTGGTGGAGGACGAAAAGGCCATCATTGCAGCCTGCGCATATGCTTCAGTAATTGTGTGCGAGAGAGATCTCAGGACTGGTGGGAACATACAACACAATCTCATGAAAGTGCGTATCTATAGCATGAATTTTAATTTCTCGTGCCATTTATACGCCAAACCAGTTTTTGCGTGCATATGATACGCACTGTAAACCCCTTGGGTAGGATTACGGGTGTGGAGTGCATGCGTATTACACGCCATAAAGTGCGTATCATATGCATACAAAAACAATTTTTGGCGTAAATGGCACGAGAAATCAAATTTGTGCTATAGATACGCATTTTCATATGCATATATGAGCAAAAAACATCAGAATTGGGTCACATTTCACTGACAGTGTAAAAGAGTTTACTTGCATAGTGCGTTTCCTACATCCTTGTTGTGTTTGTTATTATGTTGTGGATTAAGGGGGAACTAAAAAGCATGTTTATAATGCTTGCAAACCTTTTGTTTTATGCACTGATATTTTTAATTATTACCTGTTTGGCCCCGAGCACCACGGGCACCATGCACTCGGGCTCCGTGGCCTGGGTGCTTTCATCGATGAGAATGGAGCGGAACTGCATCTTTGCCAGGCGAGGGTCACCCGCACCCACACATGTGCAACAGATCACATCTGCGTTCTGAGAAAGAAGAGAGAATGAGATGTTTGCAGGCTCTATCATGGGGTTGGCTGATGGATCATGTCATGTTAGGGATGTAACGGTACACGGCTTCATACTGAAACATTTCGGTACACGTCTTTCGGTTAGACACGCATGTGTACTGAATAATTGCAGCATTGTTTAACAACTGCATGTGCTGAACTTTTGCAAACGCATCTGACAAAAAAATGGAAGGGAAAAGTGCATTATCCACGTTGTCCTAAACATATACATTCATGCTTACGTGCTTTATATTACACACTTCAAACTAACTTAAACAAATAAAGCGGCATGCCCTCCTGTCAGATATACGTGCTATTTTTAATGCATTTGTTTTCCTCGGCACATAACTTATATCTTATGGTTGATCCTTATTTGTAAATGTTAGAAATTCAGGCAAGTATTTCCATTTTGCTTAAGGGCTTGGCCTTATAGTCTCTGTACAAAAGAATGGAAGCTCAATAACTGCATAAAACGCAGTATGAAGAGTATTGCGGATTATTTTAAATGTTCAGTAAACCTCTTTTTAATAACAAAATGGGAAAAAAAAGGCTGTTTTATGTTGTGTTTTTCCCTCTGCTGTACCATAAACAAACCAAACCGTGACTTAGGGCGTTTTCACACCTGAAAGTCCGAACCAAAGTTCACGTTTTGATACATTTTTTACTTTCAGAAAGATTTGGTTTGGTTTCACACTGCAATTATGCGAGCGCACTAAAGAACTTTACGTGACACACTTGCGTCCTGTCGTCATCATCTATGTGGGCTGCATCTTGACAATGATTGGTTTTGTAAATGGACGTGCGTCTGACGTCAGCGTGTTGTCAATTCGGTAACTTTGACCACATGAATGAACAGACGCATATCGTTGCAACTATATAGTTATTTTTATGAAATAATTACCTGCAGCACCAACTATACACAAGGCTAGTTCAAATTCGCCAAATGAAGGTCCTCGTCATGCGAACATTTTATCGCCGCCGGCAGGAAAGGAGGAGAAGACTGCAAGTTGACTTCTTATTATGTCATCAGACTATAACGTTACTTCAATTAAAAACCTCGTCTCCTCCCCTCCCCATGTGCCACGGCTCATTTTTCCTGACACCTTCTGTTTTTCCGGCTATGCGGGAACCACCAGAACTTCCTGTAAAAGGTCTGAAAGTCCGAACCATACAGTAATGCTTTCACACTAGAAACGAACCAAACCTTTGTTCAGATTGACCCGGGCCGAGACTACCTCTTTTCGTCGGACCAAATTTCATCTGTTTGGTCCGGACCGTGGTCCGGGGGAGGTTTCACACCTGTAATTTTGATTTGGACCAAACTGAAAAGTCCGAACCAAACAAGGTAGGTGTGAAAGGGCCCTTAAAAATGACAGTTCGGTATGCATGTCGGTTTTGGCGTATCGTTACACCCCTAGTGCATGTTAAATCGCAGCACCACACAAAAACATGCACTGTTGTTTTCCACTGCCTGCAGCATTAATATAAAGCACTGAACAATCCACTTCAGACTCTAGAAACGCTTAATTTTGCTATGAAATATTCCAGCATTTTGTGTCTATCTGTATTTTGAAGTGAAGTCAGACAAGTACCATGAGCAGCTCTCTCTCTGCGGTTCGTTTGAGAGCTCGGTAACGTTTCTCGTCAGAAGACGACAGCTCGCCAGTTTCGTCCTTCAGTTGCTGCAGTTTCTGCAACTCGGGCATGCTGTAGAAATGACAGGCAAACATTAATCCTCTTAACCCTCTATTGCATAGTGTTGCTTCAGGGTAACATACCCATTTTCCCTCATATTCTCAGGCTTACAAAATCATACACCAAAAAAGCTTATTTTAATCTGGAGGAAGTATGAAAAGCTAATAGAATGCTTGTATTTGATCAAATGACTTGTCCAAACCCCTTTTCAATGTCTTTTCCTCACCTGCACTCACATGCGGCAGCCATGTTTTTTCAGCTCCACAAAACTTTGAAAAAGTGACATTTTCCTTAGGATTTCCAATGAAATAAAAAATATTTTCACAATTTTGGGTAAGTTCTGATTTAATTTCACTCTGTTGATTATGTTTTCATTGAATATTTATTTTGTAAATGGGTAAAATAGCTATGTTGCCTCAAAGCAACAATACGCAACAGTGAAATGAGAATTCCCTGTTTTCATGCTAGTTAGCAATACAATATTATCAGCAATATAACATTTCACACAGATGGAAGGATACCAAGACTTATTAAAGTATTTGTCAGTATGTGCCTTGTTTTTATTTTTATTTTAAAATACTTAATAACAATATTTATGATGACAGTTTAGCTTTAAGTATGCATAGGCATAGCCTAGAATTTGTAGCTTTGTAAGCTCAGATGTGTGTGTGTGTGTGTGCGTGCGTGTGCACCAAATGTTCAATCTGCCTCCAATATTTCCAGATACATATAATAATTGTGTAATTATCTTTTTCAGTGACAATGAACATAACAACATTCTATGGCAGAAAGAGGAGTCAGGCAGTGGACACTGTTTTGGTTGTTCCACGTGATTTAATGAGAATGAATGCATACAAATAATACTCCTTTGTTGCGCATTGTTACTTCTAGGTAACAACCCCCACTAAGATGGTAACTGGATTTAACTGTATTACTTTTTCAGCACAAATGTTTTTTTTAAATGAAGTTGATGTTGAAGATCTTTCATAAAATGTGTTTTGTTATGGAATAAAGAGATATATATTAAAAAGACTGCACTTTTTGTTTTTATTCCCATTATTGCATGTTGTTGCCCCAAAGTAACATACCTAGATCTACCCCTATTAATATAATTTTTGTAAATTATGTGTTGAATTGTTTAATGTGCTCTATGACTGGTAATAAAATGTGTGGAAATATTTTTTTTCTCTATTATTTCATATATCATGCAATAGAGGGTTAAGATCTATTACATTATGCAGCATTCAAACTGAAATGCTCATTGCTGGGTTAAGGGTTGTAGATTTTGAAAAACACTAAATCTGAGCAATAATAATGGTAAATTTAAGACTGCACAGTTAAACTATAAAGCAATAAATAAACAGTTGCCTGGAAACATACAACAACTATTCACAGATACAACTATTAAATTTGAGACAACATAGGACTCGGACAAAGCTCAAAAGTATGTGTATTTCTATTTGTGGGGTGCTTTTGTGGAATGGAGTAATTCGATCAAACAAAGTGTTAACATTTTGCCATTTTTTTTTAAAGTACAGAAGTGTTGAGGGTGAATGACATCTCATAACTTGCAATGTCATTAGTTAATTTAGTGGTTTTTTTAGTTTTTTTAGTTAGTCTTTTTTTAAACTATTTTTTTTAATTGTTAGAAATACAATATTTCATTCATTCATTCATAATGCCAGCCTAAAACCACTTACAGCACAAACAAATAAAAGGTCTAATATAGGGCTGGGCAAAAAAAAATAGATTTTTCGATCAATGTTTTTTTTTTATTATTTTTTTATGTGGTCGATTCAAAATCGATTCTCAACGGCCACGAATCGATTTTTTCCATATTCAGGGCTCGTGGTGCTACACACTCGTGTTTAGGAGTCGGGACATGACGGAATATTCACTTGCACAATCGGGCCAGCATTGCATCGTAACTATCGTTTATAATGTTCACGTCTTTTTAAGTTTTACCAGTTTAAACATTCAAGCAATTTTAAACTATCCAGTGCTCGCGCACTCTCAAGGTGATGATACACAGGGCAACATTTTGAGCAATGTTGCTGGGCAATGTTGCCGTCAACGGGGAACCAGATGAGACACAGGGCCCATGACCGATCTAAATTATCCAGATAGAAATGTATTGCCCATTTTCAATGGGAAAGTGCCCAAGCAACAATCGCTCAGCAAGATTGCCCAGCAACATTGCTCAAAAAGTTGCCCTGTGTATCATCACCTTAAGAGATGTTTTTCACTGCGTGCACATACAGTAAAGCCTAAATCCACCTCACAAACAGCTCGCCAGTAACAAAAGTTATTTTTCGGGGATTATATCGCTTTAACAGTTAAAAACTCGCAAAATGATGTCAAAACTCTGGTCTTGGCGAGTAACCTCGTAAAGACAGTCGGTTATGTCTTAAATAAGCATAAAACGCGTGTGACAGAGTATAATGAAACAGTAATGGATCCGTGCACTAGTTCTTAAAGTGAACGCAGCCATGTGTCTGTCATTAATTTTGTAGTCAAAACAACATAATATAACATTAATTGTAAGGAATCCGAATTAATAGCCTATGTATTTAATTCAGTCAGGACTAAAAGACTATCCAGTGTTATTTTACATTGGATTACTTTATTCAGTTTCTGTAGTATTTCTGACCTATCCAAAAACTTCTCTTTTTATGTCTCTTTTATTTGTGTCTTTATTCTATTGTATTTATTTGTGCTACTTTTTTCAATTTAATTCAAAGATTGAAATCAAGCTTCCATGTGTTGCATAAACTCTTAACAAAAAATTACCCCATTGTAAAAACAAACATTTAGGTGAGATCAATGTAGTAAAAATTTTTCTAAAAAATGATAACTGGTATTTATTTATCTATCTATCTTAAACATAAAATAACCTGACCCTGTTTGATCAAGGCGTGCGACTGTTCTGACTCAATTTTGCATCAAAATCCTGTCTATTCATTGTATGTGTATAGTGTACCTAAAATAAAAAGAGTTTTATATACATGTTTGTGGCTCTTAATTTCTTTGTATTAATTAACCACTTATAAACTTATGTCCTCTGTTCTTTTTTTATAAATATAGGATTTGTATTACATCTATATTCTTTATAGTCGAATCGAGAATCGAAAATCGAATTGAGAGCTTGCGAATCGAAATCGAATTTGAACATCTGAATCGATACCCAGCCCTAGTCTAATAGTGCATTTTGTAAATCTTAAACTCAGTGAGAACAGAAATGTCTGCACCTGTCCATGTTGCGGATCTGATTGTGCAGAGCCAGGAAAGACACCGGTGAATCGATGGCCTCACGACTCTTAGCGCACAGACGAACCACCTTCAGCCCCGTCTGATGGATCTTCTCTGTTAGCTGGTCCACTGCGATGTTACTCGGAGCACAAACCAGCACTGGACTAAAAACAAAAGAAAGTTGAAATCAGATATGCATTTATTGGTAACACTTTAAAATAAGGTTCATTAGTTATTACCGGTACATGAACTAACAATGAGCAATACCATTTGTTACAGTATTTATTAATCTTTGTTAAATGTTAGTTAATAAAAATACAGCTGTGCAATAATATTCTGATTTAATATGAGTATTAACCTGAAATAAAACCGTAATCATGATATGGCTTAGAGTGGCTTGAGCCGCTTTAATGTGCATTCGGGAACGCAATATGGATCAACCATCATCCCAAACTTGTAATGAGAAGCGTTTATCAAAAAAATACAAGCATTAAAGGCTCCCTGCGGATTTCAGTCAAAATAAAGGTTTGATGGTTTAATGTTTGAAAGTGAAGAAACAGAGATATAAACTACAAATATTATTATTTTAGAGTAATGGAAAAAAAGTATACTATTTTTCTTAAAAAGCAGATTTGGTTATTTTACAGAGAAATAATGCAAAAGAAATAATTCATGTTTTTTTTTAAATTCTTATTTAGTAATAATAATAATACTTTACAAAAAGTTTCCATTTGTTAAAGGGGTCATCAATATAAATATTTTGCATATAAATGTGTCTTTGCAGTGTGTGGAGACAACCTAGCCTGGCTGCGCCCTCCTACGCACTTCCGCTCAATTTCATCTTCCTTCAGTACTACGTCTGGGACTGCTGTATATTCTTAGGTTTCCAGAAATCAATTTTTTGTAGGACCAATCAGCGAACAGAGGGAGTGGCTGAGAACGATGACGTTGATGTAGCGCGTCAGTTTGAGTTGGAGTTCAGTAATGGCAGCGGAGAAAGACGTGAGAAAATCTATTCGGTCCGTTGTTGCAAAACTGCCGAATATCCAGAAGTTAAAGCCGGAGCAAGATCAATGTTTGCTAAGTGTTGTTGGTGGCCATGATGTTGTGGCCCTCCTCCCCACGGGGTTCGGGAAAAGTTTGATTTTCCAGCTCACTCCGCTAACTTTAGTGGTGAATGAGTTAGCTAAGGCGAACGATAGGGATGCAAAGCCGATAGTTGTTGTCGTCTCCTCTTGTTGCACTAATGGAGGACCAAGTGAGGGAGGCAGAAAGGTTAGGAGTTCGTGCTGGGCAGCTCGGCGTGCACGATGATCACTGTACAGCATTTGCGGCAGATCCGAAACGACTGCAGCGGCGTATTGTTAATGATTACACCCAGCTTCGACAGTTGACTGAATACATCACTGTCCTTAGTGTCAAATATACATTTAGAATTGTTCCCTGAACTCTTTAATTCTTAAATTCGATGAACAAAACATGCAGCTCTCGTTGACAGACATCTTATTCTTAACATAATCCTCTGATCATTCGGACTTGTTTTTTTGTATTGCTTAAAACAATACACAAGTAATAACAGAAAACATAATACAAAAACAAACAAAAAATAATAATAAAAAACAAAACAAAAATAAAACCGTAGGGGGATAATATAAAATAAACATGCACAAGTTAAGAGAATTACATGACACTGAAAAAAGGAAATTAATTACAAACAGATAATGTTTTTAAGGCTTTTTTGTTCTCAGACAACTTAATTGAAAAGAGGTATTTTTAAAATTCTTTCACAAATATAAGAAAGAGAGGTTTAGCATTTAGATATTTAGATTTATGAATATGGAATTCGGACTTGTTGTTTCCAGCCGGTTTCGGCGCTTGACATACGTCACGACCACACGTTAGCGATTGGCTATGGCAGATCCTGAGTGTCTCTGGGCAGATCCAATAGTTTTGAACTTTAACAGAGAACCCGCCTACAAGGAAGTAAACGTTTCTCAATGGAGCGAGGCCAGACTCTCTGTACAAATAAAATGTACGAGAGTCTGGTAGAACCAGGCTAGAGACAACCAACACACAATGAAAAAAAATCCATTCACTCTTTTTTAATCCTCAAAACGTTCTCAATAATCAAGCCGTTTGGATTTCCTAAGCAATATGATGTCATAATGCTCCTGCTCCGCCCACGACTGCCGACAGACTGTCCCGTATTAGCATATATTCGCCCTCAGCCATTTGTATACTGTCTGCCAAGGCATTTGCTCATTATAGACATGCACCGAAACAGGTCGTTGTGAACAGAGCTGTTTTTAAGGAGGTAAAAAGGGTGTTGTTTTACACAATCATTGAGGAATTTTAACCAAAGTATGTTACAAACTTTACATGAAGACAACTTGTGGAAAATGGGCATCCGATGACCACTATAACATTAGTTAACTTGAAAATGAAAAAACAAGGAAAAATACTTCTATTAAATACATTTAGCCAATAATTAAATCTCTTAAAACTCATCTTTGATCACCAAAATGGCATATTTAATAAAAAAAATCAGTGAAAATTATTTTTTCATGCCTTAAAATGGCTTGAATGTAACTTTACACTCTTGCATCATGTAGTATACGTGGATCTTTGAACATGCAAATTAGCCCCGCCTCCACTCACAGAGATTCACTTGCTCAACTTTGCTGTAGTAAACAAACACTGCACAAAGTCAAGCGGAAATACTGGTTTCATTCAACCAGAAATGTTCGAACCAGAAACTGATTCGGAAGAAGTGGAAGAGCGAGTTATACAGGCTCGTCTACAAGTTGATGAATCAGAATGGTAATGCATTTTATGTATCGCTCTCCATGTCAGACTCAAAATGGTAATAGATATGATTAGCCTTTGGCTTGACTACGCTACACAAACCATGTTCCCGTTCGCCATCTCAGAGACAGCTGCCTTTGAACGTCAGTGGAGAAAGGCGTATAGTTCATCATAATATGCATCATATACATAATTCACCCACTATATTGTTAAATGAACCCGATTTTTAATATCAACAGAAAAATATACCAGGACCTCTTGAAACTCCATTGACGGGATTGGCTACATCTTTCAAACCGCGTTTTGAGACTGTCTTTAGATCACTGCAGTTTTAAAGTCCCTCTGTGGTGAAAATCCAGCTTTTAATGCTGTTTATATGTCTATGTGGTGTTTTTAATACGCTTTAAGACAAACCATGTGTAAGTTCATAAGTCGACAGCATTCCTGAGTATTTTCTGCTTAAAACTGCAGTGAACCAAAGACAGTCTCAAAAACACGGTTTGAAATCGCTGGTGTTTCTGACGTCACATACGACCTTGTAACCAATCAGATCAACGTGTGATCGTCAACCAGTGGATCTCTGAGCTGAGTGAGTGGAGGCGGGGCTCATTTGCATATTCATAGGACCACGTATACTTAATGAGGCAAGGGTGTCGAGCTACATTCAAGATATTTTAAGGCATGAAGACATCCTTTTTCAAGCAAAAAAACATTTAAATGTAACTTTGGTGATAAAAGATGAGTTTTAAGGGATAAAATTATCGACTACGGGGGACTCTTAAGGAGAAAATACTCAGCAATGCTGTCGACTTATGAATTTGCACATGGTTTGTCTTAAAGCATTTTTAAAAACACCACAAGGACATATAAACAACATTAAAAACTTGATTTTCGCCACAGGGGGACTTTAAAATTAGTTCATGTTAATTGCAACATTTACCAATACATTATTAAAATCAAAATTTGTCTGTTATTATTATTTATTGGACCAAAGCTAACATGAATAGCAATGTGCAATTGTATTTTCATTAATTAATGTTCATAAATACTGTAACAAATGTATTACTCATTGTTAGTTAACGCATTAAATAACATTAACTAATGAGACCTTATTGAAAAGTGCTAACAATAAAAATGATGAGGTAACCCTTTACAATAAGGTTCATTAGTTAACATTAATGTATTAACTAACATGAACTAACAATGAGCAATCCAGTTGTTACTGCATTTGTTAATCTTTGTTAATAAAAATCCAGCTGTTCATTGTTAGTTCATGTTAATTCACAGTGCATTAACTAATGTTAACAAGATTTTAATAAAGTATTGGTAAATGTTGAAATTAACATTATAACATTACATATATATATATATATATATAAAATTAACAAAGATTAATAAATGCTGTATACGTGCAGTTCATTATTAGTTCATGTTAACTAATGTAGTTAACTAATGTTAACTAACGAACCTTATTGTAAAGTGTTACCAATAACGATAAGGAAATAATTCATATTTTAAATTGCAATCTCAATTTTTAGCAGAAAAATCTCAAATAGATTATTTCTAGCCCTAGTATTATCATCCAAATTAACTCACATTTCATGTTGAAATTGTATAACACACTGGAAATACACAGATACACACATTTCAGTCCCTCCAGAAAAAAGTGATCGCATGATTTAGTGCATAATCAGCCAAAGTCCGCATATTTATGCGGGGGCCACATTTTTTCAAATACGCCGTATTGATTTTTCGCCGCATAAATTGCCGATTTCCATGCAAAATATGCGGGGCTTGCATGATTTCATAGTCCTCGCATTTTCGTTGCTAAAAAGTTTGCGTCACACGAGACCAGCCGTTTCCCCCTGTTGCCATGGGAACGTTACGAAGTGACGTAATTACGCGACGTGAACATCATCGAAAAGCTGTAAAACAGGAGCACACTTTATTTTTAAATATTTCATTTATTCATTTTTACAGAAGTTGTAGCATATTGCTTTTGTAAAGCTACAGAACTTGTTTGACTCATCAATGTTTTGTAAGTTTGATGTTTTTTATTAAGGTCTGAAATAAAACAAGATGAGAAATTAAATATTCCCAGCACTTTCTGTGATGTATACGCTTGCTTATCATAGGAAGTAATACGAAATGACTCTACATTAAGGTAGTAGCCTAATGAGAACAGGGTGTTGGGGGAATCACTTTTTTTAAAATCTTTTTCATCAAACCGCAGTTTTTGCAAGTTCCCGCAATTTCATCGCATAAATATCCCGAATATTCCATCGCATTTTTGAAGAAAACGGGCATAATGAAGGATTTTTGCCCGCAACAATCACAAAAAAACTGCGTTTTTCTGGAAGGACTGACATTTATGTCTCCCACTACCGTGAGAGGACGTGTCTTACCCATTGCCCTGTCTGGCCAGATGGTAGACTATAGTGGCAGAGGTGACCGTCTTGCCGGTTCCTGGAGGCCCCTGGATCAGACTGAGGGGTCGCTGCAGCACCGTCTTCACAGCATACACCTATATTGTGCCAGTGAGTCAATGAGTTTCAGAAGCCAAGTCAAGTCACCTTCATTTATATAGAGAATTTAACAATATAGATCGTTTCAAAAAAGCTTTACAGTGATAATAGGAAATTAAAGTCACAGAGATTGTTTTGGCTTTACAGCAGCTCTAGAATAAAGTTATTGTCCAGATAAAGTTAGTTTTGATTGATTCACTTCCGTTGCAAAGATCATTAGTTATTAACTTATTAATAACAAAAACTATTGTCTTCCGGTTCTGTTGTGGATCCGCGTTCAGTGCCGCTGCTGACGTTAGACGCTGCTGACGTGTGTCTGGTGCGTCCGTGTATTCGGGTTCAAATAAATATGGCTGGGCAAAAGAAATGCAAGTCTTCCTCTGTGTGGAAATCCTTAGACATGTTTGCGAAGATTGTTTTGTTTCCAGCGTGCGTCTCCCTCAGACTGTAAACGGAGCTCGGGCGCACCAGACACACGTCAGCAGCGTCTTACATCACACACACACACACCAGACACACGTCAGCAGCGTCTTACGTCAGCGGCGGCACTGAACGCGGATCCACAACAGAACCAGAATACACACACACACACACACACACACCAGACACACGTCAGCAGCGTCTTACATCACACACACACACACACACACACCAGACACACGTCAGCAGCGTCTTACATCACACACACACACACCAGACACACGTCAGCAGCGTCTTACATCACACACACACACACCAGACACACGTCAGCAGCGTCTTACGTCAGCGGCGGCACTGAACGCGGATCCACAACAGAACCAGAATACACACACACACACACACACACCAGACACACGTCAGCAGCGTCTTACATCACACACACACACACACACACACACGTCAGCAGCGTCTTACGTCAGCGGCGGCACTGAACGCGGATCCACAACAGAACCAGAATACACACACACACACACACACCAGACTAGGGCTGGGCGATAAAACGATAACGATATGTATCGCGATAGACACGTGATCGATATCAATAAAAAATGTGTTCGATAAAACGTTCGATATTTTTTTTCTTCGTCGGAAGAAACCACAGGTTGCGAAGCAAGTTTGGTTGCATTATCAAAGGCACGCGCTCTCTGGTAACCTAGCAACGTAGGGAGTGACACGCTCAGGCAATCATGTAACGTGTCAGTTTTGTTGCGCCATATCGTTGTCTCGTGCTGCTGGGTTCCTCTTCAGTAACCGGCGATTGATAAGCAGAAAATGAGTGCCCTTCATCTGCATGCCATGCAGGCTAGAGTTGCGAAACATTATTGGATAATTCGCTCTATTCGCGTTTGATGTGAACACAGCATAATGAACAGGCTGCGATGTCAAGATTTCAATGCTGGAGTGTGTGTGTGTGTGTGTGTGTCCGACTCCGCGCGCGCGCGAGAGAGAGAGAGACACGCGGGCGCGATCGAACAGTGGAGACATAAAAACATACTCCGTCATTTTGTTAATACAGGACATCATTCAGTCTGCAAAGTGTTTACTTATATTTGTGTAGGCCTATACTCGCAATAAAACACAACATTGTGCTTTTGTCACACTGTATTTCTTGTCAAACTGTAACCTACAACTGTCACACACCGTTTTAAAAGCAAAACATATTTATCCAACCCTTTTTAAAACAGTCTGTGTGTTCCATCTTTTGGACATTCATCGCATTGGTTTTCATTTCTTGTCCTCAAAACAGAGCACTAATCTGTTTATTTTTAAGTTACACATTGATTAAAAAAGAAAGTGAAATATGTTGGTAGATTATTTTATACGGAAATCAATTATTTATAATTCTGATGAGAATAAAGTTAGGGTTAATTAAAATTAAGGAAAACAAATATATTGATCTGAAATATAGCAAATTAATTTTTAATTCATTCAGGTACAATTACCAAACATATCTCATATCTATCTTTTTATTAGTTTAATTAATAAACCAATTATATAAAACTATTATCAGTGCACTATAAATAAACTGGTTCTATGCCTTTATTAATAAAACTTATTTAAAAAATACAAGGCTTAAGACATTTATTAAAAAAGCCTAATATATTTCTGTTTTGCTTTTTACTCCATTGTACCGAAATCGTACCGAACCGTGATGTCTCAAAAAAGAAATCAAGCAGGGGGCACGTACGATCACAACCCCCCACCACCCCCGTCCCGCCGCGCCACTGTCACCTTTTTTACTCTGAGGAGTTTGCAGGTCTGATTGTGAATTTAGACTTATGTTTACATTCTAATTATTTGAGTTTTCCATGGTTGTGTTGACATTTCTGTCTTGGGATTGTAATCAGAGGAAGGGTAAGTTTAAAATAAAAATGTTTAAATGTAATATATTTTTTCTCCTGGTCCTTATTTTAAATGGGTCATAAAAAAATCAATAATTATCGATATCGACCGATATGAAACACTGATATCGTGATACAGTTTTCAGCCATATCGCCCAGCCCTACACCAGACACACGTCAGCAGCGTCTTACGTCAGCGGCGGCACTGAACGCGGATCCACAACAGAACCAGAATACACACACACACACACACACACACCAGACACACGTCAGCAGCGTCTTACATCACACACACACCAGACACACGTCAGCAGCGTCTTACGTCAGCGGCGGCACTGAACGCGGATCCACAGCAGAACCAGAACACACACACACACACACACACACACACACACACACACACACACCAGACACACGTCAGCAGCGTCTTACGTCAGCAGCGGCACTGAACGCGGATCCACAACAGAACCGGAAGACAATACAATGCTGAATAAATTCCTAGTTTTTGTTATTTTTGGACCAAAATGTATTTTCGCTGCTATAAAACATTCTAACTAACCCACTGATGTCACATGGACTACTTTGATGATGTCTTTATTTCCTTTCTGGACAAGGACAGTATACCGGGAAGATTTTAAAACGAGCTGTTCATTCATAAACAGGCAAGATCGCTGTGAAAATACAGACCGGAAGGGGCGGGGCTACATATGGTCTATAGGTATGCGCATTTGACTATACATGTGCACACGCGCGTGGTCTTTCTTTACAAATTGACCTCACCAAATTACTTGTCTGGCCTGCATAATACAGAATTTTTTGTCGTTTTAGCAGATCCACGCGAACTGGAATCATTTTGATAATGTTTTATCTGTACAGAGGTTAAGGGAAGGAGGCCTTCACAGGGGAGAGACTAGTTGACACTTCAGTACCGTCTTCACAGCATAAACCTATATAGTGCCAAAACAACTGGAGTTTCAGAAGCTTGTAGTCAAAGGGCCGAATGAGGTGAAGGGGAGTCTGGGAAGCTCTGTACCTGCGAGTGGTTGAGGTCTGGCAGGCCCTGCGCAGTGAAGCGTTTGGGAAGCTGGCATTTGATGATAACGTCCTCCACCTCGTGACCCAGCAGCTTGTGGTAGATGTAGCCAGACACAGAGGTCTCATCCACAGCAAACGTCTTCAGGGCGCTCTGCATTCTTCATGACATGATAAACAAAAAGCTGAACTTCACATCCACTAGATTCACAGATCATTAGACCATTTCAAGTTATAGTTCATTTGAAAATTAAACTGTTTTCCCACATGCAATTACAATTAATCATGACTGAAGGCATCAAGCTTAAAAAAAAAAATATATATATACAAAAGATCCATAAAAATATCCATAAGACTCATGCATCTAGTAAGGTCATACGATAACCTTTTGTGAAAAAGACAAAACTTAAAGCTACAATATGTACGTTTTTTCACCGCTAGGGGTCGCTAACCTCTTACAATAACAAAGGCGTCGGTTGATGACGCATAAGCGGAATAATGGAACTTGTCGTCATGCTGATGGATCTAATAACGTTTATGGATGAGTGAATACATTGATGTTTTTATCATGACTGTGGTGTGAAGCGCGATTGCTAATAAGAGACAGATATCAGCGCCACACGCGAGTCCCGCGGATTTAAAGGAATAAGGACATTTCATTCTACTGATCTAACGTTACACGCAAGTGCAGAATTACTCACACAGGTCAGTTTATTCCACGAATGAAGCTTGAGGAAACGCAGCACTGTTTCACTTGCTCTACACTTTCACACTAAACTGCGTTTGAGTGTGTTGAAAGTTATATTGTTATTCTATGTGTTAGTTTGTTGACTGTATGAGACTAGCAGTAAGCTAGATCAACATTAGAATAACATCCAGATTTCATCATGTTGAGCTATATAACATTGACTAGCTTTATGTACATTTGCTTATCTGTCTAATAAAGTACATGTAAGATCGGCGTCTCTGTCAAGTCGAAGTTAGCCGCGGATGCTAGCACTCGTCATAGCTCAACGCCACGCCCATATTGATCCTTGTTTTAGTTCTCCTTTTGTCCCAAAGTCTGCTTGCCATGAGGTAACGCAGTTGTCCACGTCTGTCGCCATGGTTACTATGGCAGTACGAGCGGAAACCAGGGATAACGCGGATATTACGCCATTGACAGGCGACAAGACCATTATTTAAAATTGGAATTTCTCTGAAATTAAAAATCTTTGGGAAATATAAGGGATATTGTAAGTACATAACTGCAGGAAATATATCACACTGTGCAAGTGATTTTTGAATATTTTATTACAAAAATCATACATATTGTACCTTTAAGTTGTTCAAATTGGATTTGGCAATCACTTATGATCTTTTGGACAGAAAACTTGAGTCTCCATTTATTGTAATCGCATGCAAGGGTTATTACAGTATTATAAAATACTGTGTACACTAGATATTAAGTAATTAAATGCCAAAGTAAAAAGATACATTTTTAACTTTCTTTTAAAAATACAGAGTGTACTAGATATTAGAGAAGCTAGTACACAGTATTTTTAAAAGAAAGTTAAAAATGTATCTTTTTACTTTGGCATTGTATTACTTACTTCGAATTATGCTTATAATAAATCATCTCCTATGTTTTAGCATTTTCTATTAGATGTGTTGTAGCTGATTACTTTTATATTTGTCTTTCTTCATGTTTTACTATTTTATACTGTGTTGTTTTTTTTTTTGTTTTTTTTTGATGCACATGTTTTTATTGAATATGATGTTGCTGTTGATATGGCTATATCATTTTTATGTAAAGCACTTTGAACTGCATTTTACACCTGTAAAGTGCTATATAAACAAATTTGATGATTATTTTGTTATTATTATACTTCACAAAAAAAAAAAAAAAAAAAAAAAAAAAAAAAAAGTTACCTGAAATAAAATAACTATGTTCTTAAGTAACAAATAAAATGAATAAAAAACTTTAGACACATTTAAAAAAAATTGAACTTAAACTTTAAAACGAAAATAAAAATGGAAAATATAAAAATTAAAAATAATTATAAATTAAAAATAATGCCATCTACATAAAAGAAAAAACATTCTGGTTTGGATCGACATGCAGGTAGCAAATATGCACTGTATAAATGCAACAAAACGTGATAGTGGGACTAACCGGTCAAAAGATGTCGACTTCCAGACGAAGTCCACCTGGAAGTTGTGCGGCACCTCCACAGGAGCGCCTGCACTGCTGCGCAGCTCGATGGCAATCTCATCTCCATAATCTGACAGAATCTCGGTTAAAGAATCAACCGTATGATACTTGTGTACTTGTAAATCAAAACAATGATTTGCTGATATAAAGGGTTAGGTGTTTGCAAAACTGTCACGATCCCAGCGTGTTGACAATTTTGCTATGCATTTGTTAGAATTTACAGAGTGGTTTCAATTATGCTGCTATGAAATATACTTTATTGTCCCTGATTGAAACTATTAATGGACTCCATAGGCAGCATTTCACCAAAACCTGATACATTAAAAAAAATGACACCCTATGCAGTTGATAGTGTGCTCTGGGTGGTTGCTTATCATATCATTAGAGGTGTCACGATTCTCCAAATCTTCGATTCGATTTAATTTTCGATTTTAAGGTCACGGTTCGTTTCGATTGTCGATTTTTACATTTCTTTTTTTTAAAGCACAGGTTGCTATGCCATTTTTAGACTAGACTTTTATGCAATATGATATCTGACCTTTGTTCGCAATGTACCACACTACATTGTCAAATTTAAAACATTTATTAACAACAAAGTCAAGTCAAGTCAACTTCATTTATATAGCGCTTTTAACAATGGATTGTTTCAAAGCAGCTTTACAGAGATAAACATATAATTTAAGGTAACAGAGATTGTTTTGGCTTTATAGCGGTTCTTGAATAATGTTATTTCCAGCTAAAGTTAATTTTGATTGATTCATCTCCGTCGAAATGATCAGACTTTAAACGCGAACCTGTGATTAACACTGACGGCGTTCACATGCACATTCAGAATGGATTCTATAGTTATGTGCTTTTGAAAATATGTGCGCAGGTTTGTAATTCCATACAACCCATCCATGCCTAAACAAACTACTTGTCTTGCCTATAAAAAAAGTGCTTATTATATAATATCTTATATCTTTAGTCAATTGGAAACTTAAGCAAAATAACCTGCCATAGTTTCTCTTTTGTAACTGCAGTCTTCTTCACAGAAGATTCACAAAACAAACAAACAGGTGTTGGTTTAACAGATAAATCTATGTTTTTGTGGTGCCCTGCCATGTTAGTCGTGCTGCCAGTGGAAGAATATGGTACACGCACATTAGGGGTGTAAATATTAATCGATTCATATCGATCCATCGATTATACAGCCGACGATGCGATGCGTCCGCAAGAGTATCGATTAATGTGTTTATTTTGCCGCCTGTCTATTTTCAGCATCCGCTCCGACATATGCGCACAACCTATTCCTAAGCTGCGGGTGGCGCTAACCTCATCATTGTCTTCGACTTCACACGCGTTACTTACGTTTCACAGTCTATCTATGTTCACACACACATTGTTGAGTCTGACTTTCATGAGCGATGGAACCGGCAGAGCGAGCTGGCAATGAAAGTGAAATGTTACACACTCCAGTCGGCGTCAAGTCATGGGTGTGGAAGTATTTTGGCTTCAGGAAAACAGATGGAGCAGTGGTTAGAGATGTTGCCGTTTGCAAAGAAGACTGCTATAGTGTAACATACACATTATGTGAATAGAATACTGTGGCGAGGGCCGACGTGAGAGAACGGCACGAGGCCGGTGGTGTGAGTGTTAATGAACGTCACCTGTGAGACGCACCGGTCTCGCATCTCTCACGGAGGAGCGACGACGCTGAAGATCGAGAGACCGGTGCGTCTCACAGGTGACGTTCATTAACACTCACGCCACCGGCCTCGCGCCACTCTCTCACACCGGCCGCGTCCTGCTCCACACAAATGCTGTTTCTGTATTCTCAATAAAAGGCTAATTATTATTTTTTTTGTTTATTTATTTTAAACTTAATAGATATCATTTAAAAATATCTAGTATTGAATCGTATCGAATCGAATCCCGGGAAATTCTGAAGTATCGAAAATAATCGAATTGTTGGCTTAAAGGGATACTCCACTTTTTTTGGAAATAGGCTCATTTTACAACTCCCCCAGAGTTAAACTGTTGAGTTTTACCGTTTTTGAATCCATTCAGCCGATCTCCGGTTCTGGCGGTACCACTTTTAGCATAGCTTAGCATACATCATTGAAGTGGACAAGACCATTAGCATTTCTCAAAAAAAAATGACCAAAGTGTTTCGATATTTTTCCTATTTAAAACTTGACTCTTCTGTAGTTACATCGTGCACTAAGACCGACGGAAAATGTAAAGTTGCGATTTTCTAGGCTGATATGGCTAGGAACTATACTCTCATTCCTGCGTAATAATCAAGAAACTTCACTGCCGTACTATGAGTGCAGCAGGCGCAGGCACTTAGTCCCGGTCACGTTGGAGCTGGGGACTATTTTCAGGCGCTTGCGTCATATCATTACGCCTGCTGCACTCATGGTACGGCAGTAAAGTTTCTTGATTACTAAAATTGCCTAGAAAATCGCAACTTTACATTTTCCGTCGGTCTTAGTGCACGATGTAACTACAGAAGAGTCAAGTTTTAAATAGGAAAAATATCGAAACTCTTTGGTCATTTTTTTTTGAGAAATGCTAATGGTCTTGTCCACTTCAATGATGTATGCTAAGCTATGCTAAAAGTGGTACCGCCAGAACCGGAGATCGGCTGAATGGATTGAAAAACGGTAAAACTCAACAGTTTAACTCTGGGGGAGTTGTAAAATGAGCCTATTTCCCAAAAAAAGTGGAGTATCCCTTTAAGGCTCCGATTTACACCCCTAACGCACATAGCAGAGCTTGCAAACTGTGGCTTTTTTGAAGCGCGAACGTTGTCAACATAACTCACTGGAAATCCAAAATACTTCCACACCGGCGACTTCAATGAAAGAGTAGGGGGTTTAAGTTCTGTCGATGGGTCTCCTGCATCTGCAGTTGCCATGCTATCTTTTGACTGGCTGTAGCTAAGTTAGAGGAGGTTGACTGACTCGCGGCACTTCAACACACGCTTTTTTCCGCTTGGCACGCCAACCGGACGTGACATGGCAGCATCGACGATTCCAGTTTTTAATTCGAAGTTCGAGATTGTGACTTAATTTAAAATCTAAATCGTGACACCCTTACAAATCATCAATCCTAAGTATGAGCAATGTGTGCCTAAGGACATTATCAAAAACATAATAGAAGTTGATAATAATAGTTGTCATTTTGCAGCAGCCAGTTGGATAATCTTCGTTGAAAGGATGCTGTCCGGGACTTTGATGACGTGTCCGATTCCTTTCCAGAGAGGAGCCAAGTCTCCTTTATAGCGCAGACAGATCTCGTCTCCTTGCATCAGTCGCATGTCTGATAAAAAAATCACCACCACAGAGAAAACACTGTCAGATAAACCACATCTTCTGGATTTATGTTCTAATAACAAAAATAGAGCTATATATCCATCACATACACACTACAGCAACACAAACACACATGCACGCACACACACACTCGGGCAGACATGTCCGTGCACACATCGATGAGGGATGCATGGGACACGGTGTTAGGGATGGGATGGATATGAACCACTGGTAGACACAGAAGATGTTGAAAGTGAATATTACCACCTGAATCCGTCTTGGGCAGAGTGAAATAAGCTATCCGCTTTTTATTCAGTCCCAAATCCCACCTCACAGTTATATTGTCTTGAGTCTGCAGTAAAAAGACAGGAGACAAGCAAAGAGAAAACATTAGCAGCAGAATAAAAACTAAATGTTTCAACACATTTTAAATATATATGTTTAAACACATATGATTTATTCCACTTATAAACAACCTCTCTTTACCAGATAGAAAAGAAACTCATGTACAAGGAAAGATGTATGTCCATCTATCGCTTTTTTCTTGCAAAAATAAAAATCCCATCCACTTTCTCAACATCATTTTTTTTTTTTTTTGCTATAATGTGCAATAACGCAATGTATAACGTTTCAAGACAGAGACATATGAACTCGGATGTAAAGAGATGATATATGCTTCTGCACAAGCCACAAATTAGAGCTGCACGATTAACCGTTAAAAGATTCTGTGTCTATTAAACCTTTGACAAAACCACAGGAATATTCAGATCTGCGTTGGCGCTGCCACTGATCCAGAGAGAGCAGTTATCAATTATGAAACCGCTTCACAGTCTTTTCAACCACAGTTTCGTTATTTCTCAGTTGCAAATATTCAGATCCCCACAGAAGAAGATCTTCCACCATAAAAAAAGAGAAATTTATTTTAAAAAAACACTGATGTCTACCGTAGCGATCACGATTGAGTAAATCACCTTTTAAAAGCAACTCGGCACTTCATATAATGATTGCATTGATTACACCAGGTTACACCACTAGGTGGCGACAAGTGACTGTTAGAAATGTGTTTGTCATTGAATCATTCATTCAAGAGATTTGTAAAAAAAAAAACGCTGAATCATACTGTAATAAAACAAGTCAAACAAATAGTATATGAGGGAGTCATTGAATCATTCATTCAAACCGTTTTTGTTTTTTATAATTAATTTAATTAACCACTTTTAAACAGTTTGCAGCAAATAACATTTTGTCAGAGCCTCTTATTTTGTTTAGTTGTCTGAGTCTTGACAAAAATTTCACAATTCGATTCGATTTCGATTCACAAGCTTGCAATTCGATTCCGATTCGATTCAATATTGATTATTTTGGATATCAGGTACAATACATGGCAAATTTTCTCAAGGAAAACAAATCTCTTAACTAATGCTGTAAACTATGGGAGTCAGTTGTAGCCTATAGGCTCCATTAGCCGACTATAATATTGAAGGTACAAATTGACTGATTTGTAGCTATACAAACACTTAAATTACACTTATTTATTTTTATAATAATAAAGTTATATGAAATATAAACATTTAAATGGTGGCTGTCATAAAAACTTGCCAGATTTATTCAAACATGCATTAAACATCGAAGAACATTAAAAATTATAATGAATATGTAATATGGTGCATATATTTAGCAAAATGCTCCTCTTTAGAGTTAATTTTTCTAGCTGACTAACGAGTTTATGATCACATATGGTTTTTCTGAGGTAAATGTGACGTTACATGACATTGTTTACAAGTTGTTTTACTGACGTCTTTCCACGGTTGAAACACTGATTGAGCGATTCCATGTGACATGATATGGATTTCGATAAGTTGTACTCTATCTTTTAACGTTCATTCATGTTTATTTCGCGCTGTAACTGGTGTTATTAAGGCGGAAGAGGAGATCATGTGCTTCTCTTGAGCTGAGCTGAGCCAGAGCGATCTCACGCCACAGCGCCAAAACGGTATTTATGTTTTTGAATTTCGTAAGAAAATGGACGTAATTTGAAATTTGAGACTTTATTTAGTATCAATAGTAACAAAGCACAAAGATTATTGCGATTTATTGGATGGGATGAGCGCTACAATGTTCCATTCATTCATCAAATCAAAACAGGATGACTAATCGATTCTTGAGATTTAAGAATCGATATCGGTTCGTAAAAATGAGAATCGATTAATATCGAGAAATCGATATTTTTTTACCCAGCCCTAAAAATCATGTATACTGAATTAATACTAATACTTAACAGAAATCATCCAAACACTGTCGGCACCGCTATCACAGAAACGGAAATCATGAGCCGCTTTTCCACCGTCGGGCCAATCGTTCTTGTTGCTTTGCCGATCCGGCCCAGCTGGTTCGGATATGGTTTCGTTTTCAACTGTGGGGCTGATATTGGAGCTCTTTGGAATGTAATACAAATGCGTCAGTCATTGCCTTGTTAACGCAAGAGTTTACAGACCGTACGAGATGTAAATAGCGATTACGTTATGTAGGATGTCAAACTGTGGCTTTTTTGAAGCGCTAACGTTGTCAACATAACTCACTGGAAATCCAAAATACTTCTGTTATTAACTAGTGTTCTTTTATGGGAGGAGGAGGCATTTTATTATAAACTACATTTCTAGCCCCTAAATGTATGCTCACTTTGCATTTCTGTTTGGTAATTTTGTTGCGAATCAGTTTACACAGCACAAGGAAGCTTGGATTTCAACCTTGAATTTAATTTACAAAATAAACAAGAACAAATACATAAATTACAAGCAGAAGCACAAATAAATACAATAAAATAACATTACAAATGAAATAAAGAGTTCTTTAAGGTTTTCAGTTTTCAGGAAGGTCTAACAGTATTCAGGTACAGGAATACTACAGAAATTGTAGTTAATTTATACAATGAAATAATTTCAACTATACAATGAACTACGGATTAATTCTTCTTGCTATATTTTGTTCTTTGATTGACATTAATGACACAGACAGCCGCAGGTAATGTATATTAGGCTGCTGTCACTTTAAGAGCTAATGCACGGATCCAATATCACTTGACACCACCGACTGCGTTTTTGAATACTTGCCAAGACTGGCCTTTTGACATCATTTTGTGCGTTTCTGACCTTTTACGCACAATAAGCCACGAAAAAGCACTGTTTGGTCACTCAGTTTAGCTTTATTTTAAGAATGCTTAAATAGCTTTTTAAACTTTAGTAACGATGCAACAGGCTCGATTGGGCAAAGTCTTTTAACGCAGCGTGCAGCTCGCTTGTACAGATGATGAGGTGATGTGAAGCCATGTGCTCATTTTGAAAGAGAGAGCGAAGATGCGGTAGCGCTAAATCACTCTGGCTGTTCGTGAAATTACGTTAAACCGAGTTTTCGAATTACTGATTTGATCTGATAATCTGTGTGGATTAATTTCCTCATTCAACCAACAAGCTTAATTAATAAATGTTTGAAAGAATTTCCCACCTTATAAGACAGAAATCAGCAGGAATGAGTAAAATTATGCACAATACCCGCACCAAAATTCGAGCCCTGTTAAATATTTTGCAAGAACTGGCTCCAACACATCATATTATACACTTGGAGACAACAGTTTGGTCAATAGTTTTAAATTGCATCCTTATTGTGGATTTGATTAAATCATTCACAGATGCTCGTTTCCTCAAAAGACATTACATCCTGCGCATTTGTCTTTGTTTTGATTTTCACTTGAAACTTATTTTTCAAACAATTTTAAGATTCATCTCAGAGCTGGTTGATTTTATTCATGGCGTTTAATGATTTTTTTTTTTTTTAAATGTCTAAAAAAATAATAATGGAAAAATACTTCCAGAACTAACAAGAGCTGAAAAAATGGATGGGCAACGGTTGCGCTCCCTAGTTCACTTAGAAAGTTAACCACACAGAAAATGAAAAGGACTGAATGCCAGTCTGTCAATCAAATCCGCAGCAAGACTCAACCCATAGCAACGTGTCAAGGCAATGACGTCTCAGATAGACTGACAACAGAGAAAACTTAACAGTAAATAAATGACTTTCGAGTGATTCGTTACAAAAGTGCAGATTAAAGATGCTAAACACGGAAGCTCAAACATGCGCGTAACTCGCTAGAACAGACCTCATTGGATCTCGAGCCTCACACATGCACATTTGAGCTTCTTCTTTTTCCTTTTAAGGACGGTTGGCAAACCCACTTGAAGGTCCATACCACCAAACAGAAAATGTACTGACAGTTGATGTAATAAAAAGGATCAGGCTAAGGATAGCTGATACCGATCAGATAAAAAAAAGCTTAATCAGGCCCGATACCGATCCTTGAGATCGGCTCAGGACATCCCTACACAGGCATAGAGTTGAAAAGCAGAAAGGTTTTCATACTTGGGACTCTTTGAGTTTCTTGTCGTAGTCAGCCTCTAGTTTGACCAGGGGACCAAAAATGTTCTGGTACTGATAGGCATCTTCGTAGCGTAGCAGAACGTGCTGAGGTTCCTCATCCACTCCAGGTTTCTCCAAATCTTCCAGGGTCGCTGTTGGGTTTTCCTACAAACATGATAGAAGATTAGGATGCTCAAAACTGCGCTACGGTCCTGCATTATTACAGTGTTTTCACTCCATAAGTAACATGTAGTGATGCACCAAAATGAAACTTCTGGGCCGAAACCGAAACTTCTGGATGACCGAAAACCGAAACTGACTTTTTAAAAATAATAATTAATTTCTTATTTTAAATTGCTTTTTTAATCTAATTGTATTGTTACTAGACTTTTAAATTAAATGCAATCATTTTACTGAATCTGAATTTTAAAAAAAACTACAAGGCAATACAATAAAATAACCACACTTTTATTTAAAGTAACACAAAAATTGGACAGAAAATAGCCCTATATTAAAATCATATTAAATATCAATATATTGTTCTTCATTCAGTTCTATGCAACAGACTCAGATTTAACATATTTATTTTTTGACTAACTGTCAAGATAAAGAATAGTCTTAGAAAACTATTATTATCAGAGCATGTGATCAGTGAATGAGAGGGTAGTGTCGTTTTACCAGCGTTGCCCAGCACGGCTATACCTTATTACAGCACAGTAGGAGAAGTCTACTACAGAGAAATGTCATGTCGGCACGTTATTGGAGTGGATTTTGCTTTTCCGGTGAGCGCCATCGGTACATGAGTATAGAGTTCGGGACATGAGCGACAGAGCAGAGCACGCAGTGCACACACGGAGTGGGACATTGAGCAGGCGCGCACACAGCCACACACACACACACACACACACACACACACACACACACACACACACACAGGGATTGGAGAGCGTGGCGCACACATGGAGCAGAAAAAGGCGCTCGTAAAGTTCCAAAAATGTGAAACCCGATTGCCGAACACAGCGGCATATTTTTGACTTTTTTTTTATTTTTCGGCCAAAATGCAAAATTTCGGTGCATCCCTAGAAAGAGGTAAATCACTGTACCTTCCAGAGCTCCTCGAGTTTGTTAATCTGCTGGGCCGTGATCTGACGGGCCCTCAGCTGCTCCTGCTCGGATGGGATCTTCACCAACCAGGACAGAAAGCAACGGTCCTGGATGAGCGGCTGCCACTGAGAGCTGTCCCAATTAATGTCCTTCAGACTGCTCTGACTGGCACACGGCTGCCTAAACACACAAACACACACACACACACACACCCATGAGACGGAGAGACTGCACACCCTCAACAACATGCACTGTGTGGTTTCACAGCTTCAAGTGGTGTGATTAAATTTACATGAAACATTTTAAAATAATTCAACATGAAGTGCAATCTCTAGAAAACCCCCAAAAAAGAATGTTTTATGCATTGCTTTTTATGCATTTATGTATACAACTATGTATTGATTAAAAAGATATTAAACTTATATAATTCATAAAAATGAAATGTGTGCATTAGTCTACATTTTCATAAGCACATTAAAAGCAATTATGCTTGCACACGAGGCACATAAAGTGCAAAAGTTTCTTACACTCGCATCCAGTTTCATTATGTAAAGATTTAAATACAAGCAACATTAGGGACTTTCCCATTTCCTTTTCAGTCAGCATGTACCTTCACACATGAAAGAGTTTAGTCACTCAATATTAACAGTTTAATGGCCTTAAAGGAATAGATCAGTTCAAAATGAAAATGCTATCATCATTTACTCGCCCTCAAGTTGTTTCAAACCTGTATGAGTTTCTCTCTTCTGCTGAACACAAAAGAAGATATTTTGAAGAATATCAGTAACCATACAGTTGATGGACCCCATTGACTTCCATAGTAGGAAAAACAATACTATGGAAGTCAATGGGGTCCAACAACTGTTTGGCTTCTGACATTCTTCAAAATATCTTCCTTTGCGTTTAGCAGAAGAAAGAAACTCATACAGGTTTGAAACAACTAGTAACTAATAAACTAACAAAAGTAAACTAATCCTTAGTAAAGGTAACCTTGTAAAGCTTACAGATTATGTCTTATACATACCATAAAGACACAATCAAGCAGCTAGAAAGAGCATATTTTAATTGCATAGTTGTTGTTATAACTCCCTTTATTTATTGATGTCTAAAAGATGTGGGTCAACCCAATCAAAATAAACTCCTGTGATGATTTTATCCACAGAAACAGCAGTTTGCAAATGAGTGGTGAATTTTACCTGCACAAAAGCACCACGACAGAGTCTGCTTTAGCCGGGATGAAGCCGAGAAGGAAGACGTTACGGCAGCCACAGTTATAGCATTCGAGAACCGTCTCTCCCAGCGGCCCGTCCTTATGCAGCGTCACCTCCTTACATTTGGCCCTCACCAAATGGTTCACAATATGACTAATACAAGTGAGACATCAGCCTTTAAGTGTTAACAATGCTTTTGAATTTGACAACACAAACGTAATCTAATTGGTGGACTCACCTGCCAGAGGTGTTGCCCCGGCCATTGCAAAACCATTTCTTGCTGGTGTTGCAGTAAACCACACATGCTGGATCATGGATGCCACAGTAGCTACAAACATACAAAACAAAAACCAGCCCACAGAATGATTACTGTAGCATACTAGTAATACCCTGACACACACTCCCGTTCAAAAGTTTGGGGTGGGTAAGATTTATTCATGTTTTTGAAAGAAGTCTCTTATACTCACCAAGGCTGCATTTACTTGATTAAACATACAGTAAAAACAGTAATATTGTGAAATATCATTACAATTTAAAGTAACTTTTCCATTTCAATATACTGTAAAATCTAATTTATTCCCGTGATGCAAAGCTAAATCATTACTCCAGTCTTCAGAGTGAAGAGAAATCATTCTAATATGCTGCTCAAAAAAAAAAAAAATCTGATTATTATCAATGTTGAAAAATATTTGTGGGAAACCATGATAAATTTTCTCAGAATTGATTCTTTGATGAATAGAAAATTCAAAAGAACAGCATTTATTTGAAATAGAAATCTTTATAAACATTATCAAAAGTCTGTGCTGTCCTTAAAATAATGACAAGTTAAATCATCTGTAAATATATAGTTTTCTTTACACAGTCATTTTGACCTAAAATCTGCTGTGATAAAATAACTACCTACTACAATGACCTACATAAAAACGGCATAATGTACATTGTACAATCAGAAGGGTCATGCTAGCCTTGTGGGAGTTTGTTTGTGTAAATGATTGGCCGACTGCAGTTGCCTGGGAAAACTGTCAATTATACAGCAAAGTGTCACATACAAATAATGCTGAGAGTGATCAGAGGTACACGTTTCAGAGAATCAAATCATGCAATGGTCTACAGGTGAAACTCGAAAATTAGAATATCGTGCAAAAGTTCATTAATTTCAGTAATTCAACTTAAAAGGTGAAAATAAAATATTATATAGACTCATTACATGCAAAGTGAGATATCCCAAGCCTTTATTTGTTATAATTGTGATGATTTTGGCTTACAGATATGAAAACCTTTTCACAATATTCTAATTTTGAATTTGGGGTTTTCATAAGCTGTAAGCCATAATCATCAAAATTATAACAAATAAAGGCTTGGAATATCTCACTTTCCATGTTATGAGTCTATATAATATTTTAGTTTCACCTTTCAAGTTGAATTACTGAAATAAATGAACTTTTGCACCATTTTCTAATTTTTCGAGTTTCACCTGTATATCTCTCACAGCTATTAGGGGTGGGCGATATGAGCAAAAATTCATATCACGATCTTTTTAACTGTCCGGACGATATCGATATTATATTGCGATATGAGAAAAAAAAATTGGAATCACATTTTAGTACACCTTAGTTAAATTACAGGCAAAATATGTATTTTAACCCAATAACTAGAAAAAGGTGAGGGATTTAATTGGACGTAGACCTGAAAAATCTTTTTTTATTGTGCCATTGTTTTTCTCAAAAAGTGCAAACGTGCAACATGAGGTCGGCCTGAATTCACTTGTTATCTCTTTCCACTTTTTACTTGGCGGGGGTCAAATAATTCCTTCGTTAATAATTCGTAAGATGAGTAACACTGGAGTTTGGTTTATTGAATACGTTGTAATCAATAAATATGAAATAGTGTGATTTCAGAGAGGTTTGACACTTAGGCCTAATTGAACATTATGTTAACCGAAAAGTTTTTGTATACTAACCAAAAGAGAGAATTTAATTGTTGTTTTTATTTATATTATTGTCCATCTATCAAACTTCCATACCTCTTATATAGTAATTATATATTACTATGTATCAATTTACTAATGCTTGGACACACGCGGTCTCTCTCGCTCGCGGAGTTCGCTTCGCTTTTATCCCATCCGGCGCCTCATAGACAGACGCTGTGTGTGTGTGTGTGTGTGCGTGTGCGAGAGGTGCGTGTGTGACAAGACGAAGTGACACACTGTCACAGTGACAGAGAACGAATACACTGCGTGTTTAAATGGCGTAAAAAATAATAATAATAACGAAACGCATTATATGACGGTCGGTGTTGATTCTGTGGCGCACCGCCACGAATTAGTCTGTGTGGGAAACACTGGACTGTTACCATGCTCTCAGTGTTTGATTATTAATGCCTGTGCATCACGCGAGTTGGAGACAAGAGGAAAAGGTTAAACGTTCAGTTCAGCCTCGATTTTGTATCGTCATTAGTAGTGTTAAAAGTCGTAAAGAGTACCAAATTGAACAAAACAATATAACTGCAAAATTTGAATTTATGAATATCTAACGGTATTCTCGGTATTGCAAAATCCATATCATGGTACAACATAATACCGGTAGTCACTTTCATACCGGTATAGAGCCCACCCCTAACAGCTATAGACACATAATTAAGGCGCGTGAGATCAGGTCAGGTGTGTCATCATCATCTTCAGTACCTGCAGGCGTGCACTGGCAGATCTTTAGTGTAGTAAGTATCTTCCTCATCCTCTTCAAAGTTCAGCTCGGCCAGAAGTTGGCTGGTCTTCACCACTGCATCTTCTCCGTTGGGCAGAACTCCGTCAGGCCCGTTTACCTAAAAACACACAACATTTCACTTTAACAACCCCATTTCTACAAAACAAATCTTTAAATAGCACAAAAGTGAAACAGGAGATTCAATCCACTGCACAATGCACACATAACCCTCGAATCACACACATCTGCAACTTACACCAGCAGGAAACTGCAGCACAAATGCTCTTAAATCAAGCATTAACACACACTTGATTTACTAAAACAATGAAACTTGCTCTGCTGCCTCATATACTTAAAGGAATAGTTACCCAAAAATGAAAATTATCCCATGATACTCACCATCCTAGATGTGTACGACTTTCTTCTTTCAGCCAAACTATTTTTTTAAGCTATATTAAAAATATTCTGGCTCTTCCAAGCTTTATAATGGGAGTGAATTGTACCTGAGTTTTGGAAGCCTAAAAAAAGCGCATCCATCCACGGCTTCAAGCCTTCTGGAGCGAAACCATGCCGCGTTTTAAAGAAAAACATCCATATTTTTAACTTTATAAACTATAATCACTGGCTTCCGGTAACGGCCGTAAGCGAGTCTAGTTCCGGAGGAAGAGTGACCTCTGACCCGACGCATGACGTATTGATGAACGTGGAAGTGCGGAGGATGGAGCAAAACAAAACACCGGTCATGAATTAGAAGTTTAAAACAAGAATTTTTTAAGTGAATTCGCCTTTGGCTAAGCCCCGCCCCCCTTAGTTACTGTTGCTACGTCCGACAAACAAACTTCATCTGGGCTCTGGTATCAACATGGCTTATGCTGTGACGGCTCTTCCTGCTGAAATTGTATCAAACTTTTATAAAGCAGCAAATAAAGTGTCTGATAGAAGTAGGCAAAAGCGGCTGCAATATACGTTCGAAGGCTATATTCACGACATACAGGTGAAACGCAAGGAACAACAAGGCATCCAAACAGAGGCAAAAGCACACCGGTCACAGTCAACAAATGACCCACCGCATATCCTACTAATGGAGACGGAGGCTGGGACTCACAATATCAAGGAGCAACACTGTTCATGCAAAGCTGGAGGTCTCTATTCACTTCTATAATCGTTATTACAAAGCAAACGGACTACGCGAGTATAACGTTGTATTTATTAGCAGCGTGTGCTAGACGACACTTGTCAGGATTTGACTTCGGTTTTAGAAAAGGGAAAAAAACGCACCCCCCTCCAACCTCTCTGGGAAACGCGTATCTGTGTTACAAACGCCCCAGGCACAACGTTTAACCATATTTTTGATAAAACTACGACGGTAATAATAAAAAATATGAGACGCCTGTGTTAAAGTCAATGGAGCGCTGTGAAAAAGTGTCGGACCACTGACTGTGGGAGCTCGTTCTTGGCTGCGCTGTGATTGGTCAATCTACATTCTAGGGCGTGGCTTAGCCAAAGGCGAATTGTAGGAGGAGCTTGAGTGTGTTGCCCAGCTCTATTTGTTTGGACCACGTGAGATGTCAACTCTTACCTAAGATTACTCTACTCCTACGTCATGCCTCGGGTCAGAGGTCTCTCTTCTGCCGGAACTAGACTCACGTACAGCCGTTACCGGAAGCCAGTGATTATAGTTTATAAAGTTATAATAATGGATATTTTTCTTTAAAACGCATTGTTTCGCTACAGAAGGCTTTATTAACATCCTGGATGCGCTTTTTTAGGCTTCCAAAACTCAGGTTCCATTCACTCCCATTATAAAGCTTGGAAGAGCCAGGGTATTTTTTAATATAACTTTTTAAAAAATTGTTTGGCTGAAAAGAAGAAAATCATATACATCTAGGATGGCTTGAAGGCGAGTAAATTATAGGATATTTTTTTCATTTTTGGATGAACTAACCTTTAATCCACAAAAAAACCTGATGCAACATATTATTAGAGCAAACATTAAACAATATAGCTAAATCATTCACCTTTAAACACCAAAACATCTAACTTACCTGACCAAAACAAGCCTTATAATGAAACACTCATACTAAAACCTCAAACATACTCATTTAAGACCAGTGTAGCTCACAAAATAAACACACAATAACACATATATGAGATGCAACTACTGACATAAACAAGCCCTAAAATACCACATAAATGCTCAAACACGGTGCATAATTTTAATAAATGTTAATAAATGCATCCTTAAAAATACATAAATACATCCCACATCAGCGACAAAACTACTTTATAATAACATCAATATAGTAAACAAATATCTGACAACACACCTGACAGTTGTAGCCAACTCAAGATATCTGTAATAACACGTGCGGTTTAATATTTTAAGAAATCTAGATTACTATTAACACCACTGCAAGTTAGTTCACAAAAGTCCCTCAGAAAGTACGAAAATACACCTGGGATCCGCAGCTAACCAACCAAAACAAACTATTTGACATTACACATTCATCATCAATAATAACATACAAGATAGTATATTTGATTGAACTTGTTAGTATATAAAATTAGTTAAAACATTAATGTAGTTGACAAAAGTCCCTCTGACAACTCTCTCTCTCTCTTTCAGGCGGCCTGCTCTATCGTTGCTAACGCTACCGCGCGGCTAACGCCTGCTAGCTCGCCATATTTGGACTCAAACGCGTTCTAGCCCGGCTGATTTAAAGCTCGTTTGTGTGTTTTTATGCGTTTATACCTGGTTGTCGAGCTGACTCTGGGTCTGGCCTTGGGTTTGGGTCTGGCTGGGCAATGTAAAGTCGGTGAACTCGAACTCGGAGCCCTGCGTGTCGGCCCCGAGAAGCTCCGTTTCCTCCGTGTCCAGGAAGGTGAGCGTTTGCGAGCTCGGCCCGTACGCCTCCACACTCATCTTTATCCGGCTCTATTGACCGCCTTTTCACAGAAAACACCGAATAATCCGTCCGAGATGCGGGAGAATAACCGACCGAAGCGCGTCGGGCGACGTTTGTTTTGATTCGAAGCGAAGAGAAGGAAACGGCGCGCGCGACGGGGCTCGTGCAGAAATGAAAGCAAACGATTCCGGAGAAAGATTCGACTCCCACTCGAGAGCGCGACGCGCGGTGACGTCACGGGCGAGCGCAACCGACGTAGAGCGCACTGTACCGCTGACGTGTACACACGTTTGCTGTTTTTACAGGAAAAGCTCTCGTTTGTAAAAAATTGGCTGTCATTTTAGAGCTTCTCTCAATGACACATCGTCTAGAAATAGACGTCTAGCTCTTTCTGAAATATTATATTGTTTTTAATCACCATGGGAAAATCTAACCGTAAAATTGGGAGCTGTGAAAAATATGATACACCGGTTTTGCCAGATGAGAAGTTTATCTATGTATCATCTTTTTACTCTTTTAATTCCTTTTATAGCTGTATTATCTTTATATCTCTTTAAATAGCTTTTATTTTGTGATTATTTTAATTTCTTTCTGTGTAAAGCACTTGAAATGTGCTATAATAAACTTGCCTTGCGCAAAATATTTTGGTTTTGCAAGACAAAATAAAGACAGTATAATATACCATGTGAATGGGCAGTGTCCTGAAATATTATTAAAACGTTTTAACGACCTAATAATATTTAATAACCTTTAATATTTGTAATGATCAAATATTTGTGTTTTTATGTATCTGACTTCAGATAACATCAAAAGGCGAATAAAGAGTGAAAAACCTGAAATATTTTGACCTCTTAATGCACACTTTCATTGTACACATACTTATTAATAGGCCTATATATTTATAATACGATATGCTAATAATAAAATTGGCAATGCAACATTTTAGAAAAAAAATTCACTAGTGATCTCACACTTTTTCCTATATTAAAATGTAATGTAACAATTTACATCCATTTTGTGAATTTAAGATAAACAATTAAATAAGGCAGAAATCATTTATTAAGAGCTACAGTTTATAAAAAAAAGTGGAAGAACAAGGAAACACAAACATAAAGAGGAAACACTACAGCGTCCACCAGAATGTGGGAATATTAATGTATACACTTGAACATATGTCAGAACACGTAATACAATAAAACTGACCAGTGGAAACAAGGAAATGCTGAAAATAACAGTGTTTTTAGCCAACATTAAAATAATTAAGATTCACAGCATTATCTGTTTGGTCCAGTACGTTGTAATTAATAACTCAAATTCCAGTAAAAATCTTAGAAAAACAAGCTAAAGAAAGAAAATTAAAACCATATGCAATTCAAATCACTTTTTATAAAATCATATAATAGACTGAGCCATTATAATGTAATGGAATGCAATGTATAATGTAGCTTAATGTGATTTAATGCAATGCACTGTATAATGTAATGCAATGTCATTTAATGTGATGTATAATGTAATGCAATGCTATGTAATGTATAATCTAATGTAATAATTTAATGCAATGTATAATGTAATGCAATGTATAATGTAATTTAATGCAATGTATAATGTAATGCAATGCAATATAATTTAATGCAATGTATAATGTAATGTAATAATTTAATGCAATGTATAATGTCATGCAATGTATAATGTAATTTAATGCAATGTATAATGTAATGCAATGTATAATGTCATGCAATGCAATATAATTTAATGCAATGTATATTATCATGCAATGTATAATGTAATTTAATGCAATGTATAATGTAATGCAATGTATAATGTAATGCAATGCAATATAATTTAATGCAATGTATAATGTAATGTAATAATTTAATGCAATGTATAATGTAATGTAATAATTTAATGCAATGTATATTGTCATGCAATGTATAATGTAATTTAATGCAATGTATAATGTAATGCAATGTAATGTAATTAACCGTCAATTAGCAGTTTAAAGAGTTATTTTAGTTTGGACCAAAATTCCAGCATTTTGCAAAGAGTAAGAAAGCAATATAAGAAGAAAATCTCAAACAACGTCCACTGAGAGAAGACAGACATCACCTTACAATCATCTCACGACTTCACATTTCGTATAATTAACAAAAGCCAAGCCGCTGATGTCTTCACAGCTAGCACTGATAGCATTAGACCTTGATTACTCAAAAGGCATCAGATTTAGGTGTTTTTATGTGGGACCCTGGACATAAAAGGATTCAAATGGTGAAAAACACATTTGGATTGTACAGTTAGGTTTGATGCTTGTGTCCTAAAAGTCTGGTTACTCACTTTGGCACTTTAATAACCAGACAGACATAGTTATTATGTCTTTATATCACTGTCCAGCAGCCAAAACATTGTTTTTACTTCGTCATAATTTTAAACCAGCCTTTCCACCTGCTCTGTAGTCTGTGATCAAATAAGCTGGGATGCTTATACTCCCTGCCCTGTGTGTGTTTGGGGTATTTTTGAAAGCTGCAAATGATAAGAGTTAAGTTTAAAACAGTGTTAGTTTACTGTCATTGAGATTATAGTTTTTATCAATATTTTTAATTATGTTTATAAAAACCCTGATTTGAAACGCTTACTACTACATACATACTTAATTGGTAACACTTTACAATAAGGCTTGTTAACATTAGTTAATGCATTAACTAACAATACGCACTAAATATTTTCTTTGTTCATGTTAGTTAATAACAATGCTCATGTTAGTTCACAGTGCATTTAAAGATTCAACAGTTGAGCTTAAAAATGTATCAACTAAGATTAATAAATGCTGTATTGTTCATGTTAGTTAACTAATGTTAGCAAATGAAACCTTATTGCAAATAAAGTGTTAGCACGTAATCTGTTAAAAAACGATATAAAAACAAGACGACGGCGAGAGAAAGTGTGTAAATAAATTATTTTTGAAAATTTTATACTATAGTTTCGACATGGTTTTCACATTAAAATGACGTCTGTTTTATGCATAATACCAAATCTCTGCATGTTTCAAGTATACCCCATTAAAGTGCTTTCTTAATGATCTGAGCCCAGCATTGAGTTTAGCACACGAGTCAACTCTCAAACCAGCTGAATGCTCCGTGTACGTAGCACACAAGTTAAGATATCGAAGTCTTCAAATGTGCATGAACTCTTGAATCCAAACAAGAGCGTGTGAGACTCTCACTGGTCGTGCAGACAGTGTTTCTTTCCCTTGTTTTGCTCCATCAGTTCAAGCATCTCCAGAACGACGGCTCTGAGGGCGCGAGCCAGATCCTCTGCGCTGTACGGTTTTCCCAGAGGAGGAACATGGACAAACGCAGATCTGCCGTCGCCCAGAAACAGAGACGTGTAGTAGGTGTAGTCACACAGATACCTGAGGAAAGAGGATGGGGGATTTGCTTACACTTTATTTTAAGGTGTCTTCGTTACACTGTAATTATACATTTAAAGCTGCAGTCCGTAACTTTTTTGGGTTAAAAATGATCCAAAATAATTTTTTGAGAAAATACATAACCAGCCAGTGTTCAACACTCTCTGCTTGCCGTAGCTCGATTCAAAGCGGTAAGCTTGTGGTGAATGTAATAATGTTTTTAACTCCAGTGGTACTGGTGGATTTCAGCGGGAGATTCGAGCATGTCTTTGCGTCATTACGTCACATCTGTACACACACATATCTGCACACACACATCTGCACACGCACATCTGCACACGCACATCTGCACACGCACATCTGCACACGCACATCTGCACACACATCTGCACACGCACATCTACACACACATCTGCACACACACATCTGCACACACACACCTGCGCACGCACATCTACACACACATCTGCACACACACATCTGCACACACACATCTGCACACACACATCTGCACACACACATCTGCACACACACATCTGCACACACACATCTGCACACATCTACACACACACACACCTGCGCACGCACATCTGTACACACATCTGCACACACACATCTGCACACACACATCTGCACACACACATCTGCACACACACATCTGCACACACACATCTGCACACACACATCTGCACACACACACCTGCGCACGCACATCTGCACACACACATCTACACACGCACATCTACACACACATCTGCACACACACATCTGCACACACACACCTGCGCACGCACATCTGCACACACATCTACACACACATCTGCACACACACATCTGCACACACACATCTGCACACACACATCTGCACACATCTACACACACACACACCTGCGCACGCACATCTGTACACACATCTGCACACACACATCTGCACACACACATCTGCACACACACATCTGCACACACACATCTGCACACACACATCTGCACACATCTACACACACACACATCTGCACACGCACATCTGCAGAAGCGTATCTGCACACAGACATCTGCAGAAGCGTATCTGCACACACACATCTGCACACACACATCTGCACACACACATCTGCACACACACATCTGCACACACACATCTGCACTAGTGTTGGGCGATGTCTACCAATTTGGCCTCAGACGATGTTTACAGTGAAACATCGCGATGGACGATGACATCGGGAGGGGGGGGGAGTATTTTCGCAATATTCTCATTTTCCACTAGATATTTTCCTCTATATCTCATCAGCAATTTCGATTTCGGCACGCTCTGCAGCAGCTGAGCACTAAAGAGCGATTGTACAGTGACGTGACAGAACTGCCAGATTCAAACTGCGTGCTTTCGCGCTATGGCTGGCGCTGAGCCAAAGACGGACGAGCTCAGCGCTAGTCAGGCTATATCACAACTGTTCACTGTTTTTAACCACATAATGTTTATTTTAGGTTTCAGACATTTAAATGCATATAATTTATAGCAAAAAAATACATTTATAGTTTGTAAAATACACAATGGTGTCTATGGAAGCAGCAATAACAACCCATTCAAATATATTTGACAACGGTTTTTATTCATATCAGAGAGACACAGTGTAAAATAACTATAAAGTCAACTCTATTTTTCTCCCAGTTCACCGGCCACTTACTTTCATGTATTTCGGGAGAAACTGGTGAATTCACGCGCTGTAATAAATCCAACAGACAGAAATCTCTGAACTGCGGCCCAAACACGGCGCCCATCTCACGTTACAGATCAAGATCATTTATAACGTTTTTTTAAACGACAAAAACTCACTTACACATATTTGAGAATCGGAATAGAAGATAGTTCATGACATGGTAAGCAAGTTTGTTAATATTTAGAAATAAAAGCGCTAAATCTGTCATACAGCGCTATTTTGGCTGTGGTGAATCATGTGCCAAGCATGACGCGTCACCATGGAAACGGGACACACGATGTTTAGCCGATGCCGTCTAAACATCGTGATGTCTGTCAGCCATCACGATGGACGATGATATCGTCCATCGACCCAACCCTAATCTGCACACGCACATCTGCACACGCACATCTGTACACACACATCTGCACACACATCTACACACACACATCTGCACACGCACATCTGCAGAAGCGTATCTGCACACACACATCTGCACACGCACATCTGTACACACACATCTGCACACACATCTACACACACATCTACACACACACATCTGCACACGCACATCTGCAGAAGCGTATCTGCACACACACATCTGCACACGCACATCTGCAGAAGCGTATCTGCACACACACATCTGCACACGCACATCTGTACACACACATCTGCACACACATCTACACACACATCTACACACACACATCTGCACACGCACATCTGCAGAAGCGTATCTGCACACACACATCTGCACACGCACATCTGCACACACACATCTGTACACACACATCTGCACACACACATCTGTACACACAGATCTGTACACATAAATAGTCTCAGCTAGTAGGCTATGGGTGTGAGGATGCTGGAGGTGGAGATTTATAGCCTTTTCTCACACTTGATATAATTAAACTTATTAATTTGATGGCGGATCCAGAAAGCTTCAAACGACAATCACCAGTGACAACTAGAGACTCACCCGCTGTAAAATGCAAAAGACTTCGGACTGAGAGTTTGGAAAAAGAGAGTGCAACGGACCATGCGAAAACAAGGAGAATATCTGAAGGGCTTTGAATGTAGTCACGCAATGCTGGTGTTGAACATTAACAATTTGAGAACAAAGTATAATTTGCACGGTTTGACGTGATATGATGATAAGCGATCGTTAGATTTAATCAGCGCGATTTACTGCTGGATGTTACTCACTTGTTCAGACATTTTAGGGTGAAAATTATTATGTTGGTCATACTTCCAAAATAGTATAATCTGTGGTTCTGAATGCCAGTATCCACACCGGCGGCGACTGACACACACACACTCTCCTCAAACACTGTGTTCATCCGCGCTGTGCCGTGTCGAGGGTGTCGAGGCACAACTCACGTAAAGTTGATAATTCTGCGAATGACTGCAATTGCAGATTTCGAACAGAGATGGCGACAAAGAGGAAAAACTACGGACTGCAGCATTAAGTACTCAGTAATATTATGTACTTACTAAAGGGTTAGGATTTGGTTTGGTTGAGGGTTAGTTGCATGTAATTATGCATAATTCATAGTTGTTACTATAGTAACATTTCATTTGTAACAATGACACTGTAAAATAAAGTGTTACCGGGTATTTTCTTTTTATAAAGCCCTGATCCAAACCTTGAGTCAGATGGCTGGATTCACGCCATTTACTGAGTCCTCAGGCTCGCACTTAACCATTCAATTAATCCCAGATGGATCAAATCAAGTCCCACTTTACATTCTTGGGCAAAAGAAATTGGGCCAAGACAAAAATGGCAAAATATTTAGTGGTCTTTAAATGGTCTTAAAGGGACGGTTCACCCCAAAATTAAATAACTATCATTTACTCGCCCTCAAGTTGTTCCAAACCAGTATGAGTTTGTCTCTTCTGCTGAACACAAAAGAAGATATTTTGTTTTTGAAGAATATGGGTAACCAAACAGTTGATGGACTTCTATAGTAAGAAAAATACTATGGAAGTCAAAGGGCCCGTCAAATGTTTGGTTACCCATATTCTTCAAAATCAAAATATCTTCTTTTGTGTTCAGCAGAAGAATGAAACTCATAGGCAACACTTATAGGTACAATAAGGTTCATTAGCTAACATTAGTTAGCATGAACTAATAATGCACGTATACAGCATTTATTCATCTTTGTTAATGTTAATTTCAACATTTACTAGTACATTATTAAAATCTTGTTAACATTAGTTAACCCCTTCGCTGTCACCCCCTTTTTGAGAATGGGGGTTAAAATGCACTATTCAAACTTAAATGGTTGTAATTCAAGAATGCTTTGGAATATAGACCTAAGTTTGGTCTTGTTTTAAAGGAAACACTCAGCAGATTATTGCTGAAGTGAAAACACTTAAAAAAAATAAAGTATGAAAAAGTTATGGAAGTTTAGATTTAGAGTAAATCAAATATACTGTACTATATATTTTTTATTTTATAAAAAATTTTTACTATAAAATTACTATAAAATCAAAGCCATATATCTAACCAAGTTGTGTTCCAAATTTGAAGTTGATATCACAAAAATTGAAGTTCCCATGAGATTCTGTTTAGGCGTAATACCAGAAATAGCCACCGGGTGACATACATTCTATTGAATTTAGTTGTATACATTCTGCCTTAACAAATTAATACATTTCTCTCCAAATATCAATTCTGTCACAAAATTTGGAACCTTGAGACTTAGACCTTTCTGACAATGTGTTTTGTCAGGATTAGAAAAGGTTTTGATCATAAATTAAGAAATATAATGATGCCCAAAAGGGGAGGAGCCTGATAAAATAATTTAGAGTACCGTTTCTATGGTAACGCAACTTTCAATTTCAAACCGGTTTTCACAGGATGAATTCTGAGTTTGTAAGCTTTCAAATGATACTTAATTTATGATAACTACTAAAATATGTGATATAATAAAAAAAGGCGATAAAAAAAGATAATATTATATTTTAGAGGATAATATTATATTATATTTTTTTATTGAAAAATACTAGATTATATGTTTTATTATGAACTTTTAGCATGAAAACCAAAGTTTCAATTATTAAAGGTGTGTGCGTTAACTTTTTGTGACAAAGGTCAGAACTCCTGTTATGATGCAGATTTTTTTGAGGTGCACTCTTGTCAAAAAATCATCGGTTACTCTTCCTACATAATTTTTAGCAAAAAACAGCAGTAAAATATCTATTTAGCAGTCTTAGACCTTTTCAACCATATATAGTTTGTCATAATTAGATTAGGATTTAATAGTAATATAGCGAAGTAAAGTTTGGCATCCCGTATACGGGACGGTGACAGTTAAGTTAATGCACTGCGAACTAACAATGAACAGCTTTATTTTTTATTAACAAACATTAACATAGGTTAACAAATACAGTAACAAATGTATTGCTTATGTTAAGTTCATGCAAGTAAATACTGTACAGGTTTGGAACAACTTTAGGGTGAGTCAATGATGACATAATTTAACTTTTTGGGTAAACTATCTCTTTAACCATTTTAATCACAAATCACTGGTCGGGAAATTAGCAAGAATTGCACAAATACTGTAGATAAAGTAAGGAATCCCCTTACAGGGAGAAGAGTTGGTGTTTTTCCACTCTGTTAAATGGCTTCAAACTGTTCATGAGTAGATAAAAAATGTCTCCCAGTTAGTTTGAGTTTAATGTGAAACCAAATATTCACTAAATGGTTCAAATCTGGACTCTGACCAGCTAAAACATGAGCCATTTCTTGGCTGTCTTTGCAGTTTGGAGCATTGTCTTGTTGAAAAATAACATCTGATCATTGCTCTTTAGATAACAAATTTGCATTTGTGGGAAGCAAGGCGTTCTGCAATATTCTCCTGTACTTCAAATCATTAAAAGACTTTTCACAGTGAAGCAGCTCATCAGTTCCAGCAGCTAAATAGATTAATTGTGATAGAGAAGCATTTATTATTATATTTCTCAGGAGTTTTTTGAGGATTTCACCATGCAATTCATCACTCCACACGCAACTTCCCATAATCTGCCAAAAAACTATATTCTGAGACAGCAATGGCTTTTTAAGTAGTGCATTTGCTTAAATTTAGCTATTTTCCTGACCAATAATTTGTGGTTAAGACCATTAAAAGCTTATTTTTTTGCCATTTTGGGCTTGACCCATATTTTTGCTCACTTGTTCTTAATGAATATACACTCACCGGCCACTTTATTAGGTACCCCATGCTAGTAACGGGTTGGACCCCCTTTTGCCTTCAGAACTGCCTCAATTCTTCGTGGCATAGATTCAACAAGGTGCTGGAAGCATTCCTCAGGGAGTTTGGTCCATATTGACATGATGGCATCACACAGTTGCCGCAGATTTGTCGGCTGCACATCCATGATGCGAATCTCCCGTTCCACCACATCCCAAAGATGCTCTATTGGGTTGAGATCTGGTGACTGTGGAGGCCATTTTAGTACAGTGAACTCATTGTCATGTTCAAGAAACCAATTTGAAATGATTAGAGCTTTGTGACATGGTGGAAGTAGCCATCAGAGGATGGGTACATGGTGGCCATAAAGGGATGGACATGGTCAGAAACAATGCTCAGGTAGGCCGTGGAATTTAAACGATGCCCAATTGGCACTAAGGGGCCTAAAGTGTGCCAGGAAAACATCCCCCACACCATTACACCACCACCACCAGCCTGCACAGTGGTAACAAGGCATGATGGTTCCATGTTCTCATTCTGTTTACGCCAAATTCTGACTCTAACATCTGAATGTCTCAACAGAAATCGAGACTCATCAGACCAGGCAACATTTTTCCAGTCTTCAACTGTTCAATTTTGGTGAGCTCTTGCAAATTGTAGCCTCTTTTTCCTATTTGTAGTGGAGATGAGTGGTACCCGGTGGGGTCTTCTGCTGTTGTAGCCCATCCGCCTCAAGGTTGTGCGTGTTGTGGCTTCACAAATGCTTTGCTGCATACCTCGGTTGTAACGAGTGGTTATTTCAGTCACTGTTGCCCTTCTATCAGCTCGAACCAGTCTGGCCATTCTCCTCTGACCTCTGGCATCAACAAGGCATTTCCGCCCACAGAACTGCCGCTCACTGGATGTTTTTTCTTTTTCGGACCATTCTCTGTAAACCCTAGAGATGGTTGTGCGTGAAAATCCCAGTAGATTAGCAGTTTCTGAAATACTCAGACCAGCCCTTCTGGCACCAACAATCATGCCACGTTCAAAGTCACTCAAATCAACTTTCTTCCCCATACTGATGCTCGGTTTGAACTGCAGGAGATTGTCTTGACCATGTCTACATGCCTAAATGCACTGAGTTGCCGCCATGTGATTGGCTGCTTAGAAATTAAGTGTTAACGAGCAGTTGGACAGGTGTACCTAATAAAGTGGCCGGTGAGTGTACTTTGTCACTTAGAAATAAGTAAGATTATTACAGAAGTAAAATGCCATTAAAGTTTGCATAAACCCTAATAATCCGTTTGTAAATCGCACTAGTATCACAGTTAGAATAAAAAAAAAAAGTCACATCAATTGGAATTTAATTGGCCAGTTCCGATTGAAATTTAATTCAGATGGTAAAGGGTGGTTTAAACCTTTTCTAATCCGTTCGATAGGACATCTGATCGGATTGAAAACCGAAACTGGAAAGTTCTGTGCATATGCAATGACAGAAATGCTGTAATGACTTGTTAAATACATGTTAAATATATTGTCGTGTCAATCTAAAATTCTCCTTTCACTTGTCATCTGTGCAGTGCTGTGCAGTCCTTGCTTCGGTCTCTCATCCACAGATGCGCGAAGGGGCGATAATGATAAATGTGCTTGTCGTCTTCTAATTAGAACCCAAAATAGATAAATATTAAATCTGATAAATATTAATATGAAGCAATGGTAGGAGGCTGGTTATAATGCGCTAACAGCTCTATATTGGTGCAGTGTGAGCATGTCAAAAGATCAAATCCAATTTGAAGCGTTCATGTAAACTAGGGCTGTTGGAACGAATTCCGAAATTCGAATATAATTCGAATATTAAAAAAATCAATACTATTCGAATGCTGAAGTTACTATTCGAATATTGTTTTTTTTATGTATATTTTAATTTTTTTATATATATAAACAGGAAAGAGGCCGCACTATGCATAAATTGTTTTATTTGCACAAACGCGTTTCAAGAAGGCACGCGCCGAAACGCGTTTGTGCAAATAAAACAATTTATGCATAGTGCGGCCTCTTTCCTGTTTAACGTTATATATTCTAATCATCAGGCCAGCATTCTTAAAGTTTAAGTTTAATCATTGAGTGAAGCCTGCTCCTATTCCCATTCATTAATTTTTTTTATAGGAATCTTGCCTTTCTCGCCACCTTGACTTACACACATGTGAAAATGAAATGCTTTTGTTTCGTCTGATGAACAATAACGTTTTTGAATCGTAACACAATTGTGCACGTTATCCACGCTGTATCATCATAACAATACTGTCAAAAATGGTTTACATGTTTAACAACGTAAAAAAGCGCCCGTGAAGCGCAAATATCTCGGTGAAAACTCAACGGATTCGGCGAGCACCAAACTCGCTGGAACCGTCTAGTCGAACTGAAAAGAACGATATAAGTTTCAGAATTTTTGGTGGTGTTTTAGCGGAGATATTAGCCGAAAACCATCGGTAGCGCTTCAACCATATTCAGCACGAATAAAATGTTTATTGTAATGTTAGATATCCCTCTAGTGGACAGAACGTGTAACAACAACCACATGCTATAGTGGCATTAGCGATCCATAAGCCTGAGTAATGTCGTAAATATTAATAATAGGATGAATTTGAGCATTTAATATTCGAATATTATTCGAATATTAAATAAAATTTGGAATGGAATTCGAATAGTATTATAGAGGAAGATTGACAGCCCTAATGTAAACACTATGTTCAGATTCATCAATCGGAATGATTTTATTCCGGATGAACCAAAATGTGTCCATGTAAACGTAGATAAAATACAATGAGAACATACAGTACATAACACGCATAAAATTTGCGGTCATAAGTTTACATATACCTTGCAGAATCTGCAAAATTTTAATCATTTTAAGAAAAATCATAAAAACGTTTTTTTTATCTATCAATGACACAGTTTTAAGAATCTAGCATATGTAACATTTTGAACAACACGATGTCTTGTGGACTATACGTAAACATTTGTTAAGTGAAATATATGCAATATGCAAATATGCAAATTTTTATGATCCTTCTTTATTTTGTTAAAATGATTTACATTTTAGAAATTCTGCAAGGTATCCAGTGAACTTATGACTGTAAGTGCACATATTATGTCATTTTTACAATCTTGATTAGTTTTTTTTTCATGCTTGAATGTTGATTATTTTCCTCATATTCTCCATTGTTGCAGCTCCTCTCTTTCCAGTCTGTCAATAACGCTCTGTTTAGTTCCTGTCTCTATGAAGCCCCTCCTTCTAAAAAGCACACTGTGCTCTGATTGGTCGGCTGGATCAGTGTGTTGTGATTGGTCGAGCGCTTCGAGTGTGTTTGTGGAAATGTCCCGCCCCTTTCCATATCCGCCAGTTTCAACACACTACTAACTAGCTCAACCAGGCCCCGCCCCTTTATTCTGCGTATTAATTATTTAAATGAGGAATATTGTGACGTGTTCGTTCCCGGAGAAACTAAAGACTACAATGGAGGCGTTTCAGCGAGTTCAGAAACACTGACACTGATATAGAGAAGTTTTTCCTGCTCAAACAGCAACATTACACACTAAAGGTCCTCTTAAAAAGAGCATTTTACTGCGTGTTAGAGAAATGTCCATACCTGCCGGCGTCCTTCGATACAGACACAGAGACCCCAAGCCCAGAGGAGTTGACTCTCTTACAGACCATGTCCATGTCTATGACAGAATGAATGCAGTCGGGTCCTCCCTCCTTACAGCAGCGGGACTCGGGACAGAACCGGCAGTTGTCCAGGCGCATGTAACCCTGGTTATGACCACACTGTTCGAGTGTTACTGTGGTGGCCATCCCCGAAACTCCAACGTGGACAACTAACTTTGAAAAAGCAGAAAGAAGAAAATTAGCTTTTAAATTTTTTTTTTTTTTTAAATGTGTTTTTTACGGAAGCCCTGAACCGCAACGTAAAAAAACCCCCCAAAAATTGAGTATTTCGAGATTAAAGTCGAAATATCTCAAGATTAAAGTAATTTTTCTCTCTAAATATTTCGACTTTAATCTCGAAATGCTAGATTTTTTTATTTTTTTTACGTTGCGGTTCAGGCTTCCGTAGTTCTTAATAGGGCTGTCAAAAAGGTTTAATTTCTGTGGTTTAATGCATTAAAAATAATTAATTTGATTAACCAGTGTCCTGGTTAAAACTGCTTATTTCTCTGGATTTAAACATTCTTGGAAACATTTGGGATAATGTAAAGTACACAAGTCTACAAAAAAATATATAACATTGTTCTAGTGGTTTTTGGATATTTTAATCCAAAAATCTAACATATTGTGCCTTTAATAGGGCGGGCTGTCAAAAATTATGTTAATTTCTGTGGTTTAATGCATTAAAAATATTTAGCGCAGCATCCGTATTTTATACTATGCTAACATCCCTGTACTAGCGTTACCGTATGCGTATATGATCACATGATCTGTGCGCTGAACCAGCTCCGTGAGCCAAGAGATCCGCATATATAAACCAGTCATTTATTACTTAGGCTATTTAAAAATAAACTTTGCAAAAAACATATTCCTTTAAAAAAAAAAAAAATTATCAGCTGTATGCAAAGTGACCCATATTTGGGTTTTGGCCACTAAAAATGTGTACAATTGACTAATTTACTCATGGAGTAAAAATTGAGATATCTCTAGAAATGAAACATGTTGGGCCTTAAAAATGAAAAAAACTAAAGTAAAAGTTTGTTAAGAACCAGAATCTAAAAGGATATTAAGAGATTCTTAATACTTCTTGAGTTACATGCATGCAAACTTAAAAAACACAAGAAGTGCCTTTTCCCTTTTTTAAACTGTCACCGACACACACACACACACACACATTATAAAAACAAACGTTTATGTTAGATGCGATTCATCGATTTGATAGCACTCGTTTATAGAGATATAAACTCATTTGTAACAACACAAACATGCGGTTATGAGAAATCTTCTAGGTTTTTTAGCGCGAGAATGTGTGATTTTCGGCCAGATATAGGCCATGTCCACACTACAGTAATACGTTTTCTCTCCGGTTTGGCCTTCCGTCCACACTGAGACGGCGTTTTAAGTCAATGAAAACGTAGCTTTTGCAATACGCTCTGCAAAGCGGATACATTTGAAAACGGCGTTTTCGCGCTGTAGTGTGAACTGTGAACCCGGAGGTCTCTGAAAACGATGACGTAAGTTTAGTCATGTGATCCATGTTGTACCAATAGATATTCATGTTTACCGGTATAGTGCCTGTTATGTGCTATTCACTTTTACGCTGTTGCTAAAATATGTTACTTTGCACACTCTACATATCACAGTACAGCAAAGATGACAGAAAATGGACTCACATTTGCAATACAGGAGAGCAGTCGCGTTTTAGACCGAACATAAGGTGACCCAGTGCGACCCGGACGCATCAGTGATGGTGAGATATTTTGCTAAATAAAATTATCCTGTTAGAAGAATTGCGCGATACCTTTATTATTTATTTTTCCATCTGTATCATCTCGGTGAGCTTTTGTGAGGTTTCACGCATGCGCTGTAAGATGAATTTAGAAGTTTCTCATCCACACTGAAACGCCTGAAAACGCTAGTGTGGACGGTAGAGGTGGGCAGATCGATACTAATATCGATAATATCGATACCAACGTTGGTATCGGTATTGATCGATACCAACGTGAAAATATCGATACTTAAGTTTCAGTTTCTCTCGTTTTGCGACCTGACCGTGTTTGTCAAAATGCTGCTGCTGTCACAGAGCAGAGCAAGCTCTCTCCTCTCCTGTGTTGTACCGTCACGTGACTCACCACTAGCGCGCTACTCAGTACTCAGGACTAACCCCACCCCTACCGCTACCACCAGCAGTCAGTCAGGCGCGCGCTCAGCCGCTCAGCTCATCTTTTAAATCCTGAAAAAGAGTGCACTAAAGAGGAGAAATGTTATTTTATTCTCATTATATCTAACAAAGAGAATTTGTTTAACATTTTTTATAATATTTGTTGTGAAGTAAAACTTTGTGACTTTGTTTATTTAAGAAAAAAATCCTGAAAAGAAGTGCACTAAAGAGGAGAAACGTCATTTTATTCTCATTATATCTTACAAAGAGAATTTGTTTAACATTTTTTATAATATTTGTTGTGAAGTAAAACTTTGTGACTTTGTTTATTTAAGAAAAAAATCCTGAAAAGAAGTGCACTAAAGAGGAGAAACATTTTTTGTTAACATGCTACTTGAAGAGAATTTGTTTTTACATTTTTTATATTTGTGAAGTAATAATTTTGTAGCTTTGTTTATTTAAATAAAACAGAAGTAACCAAAAGTTGTTTCTGAACAAAAGCTTTTGTAGTACTGATTTTAACTGATTAATAACCCAAAATGCAAATCACAAAAACAAATTAAAAGTCATGAAAATTCATTTAGATTTAGGTTGAAGACGCATCCACCTTAATTATTCAAAAGTATCGGTATCGGCGATACTGGCCCTGTATTTACTTGGTATCGGATCGATACCAAATCTAGCGGTATCGCACACCTCTAGTGGACGGAGAGCGTTTTTAACCGAAAACGCCATTTTCAAATGTATCCGGATTAATGTGGACGTAGCCATAGTTACGCTACTTGTGGGAGGTGCTGTTTCCATAGAGACGGTAGGAGACTTTGGACGGCCTGATACTCCACAGGAACTTCAGCAACATGAAGGTTTATTTCGTCACCCAAACCCAGTTTCTCCAGCTCCTGAGAAGAGGAAATTTTACAGAAGAAAATGTTACTGCATTTCATCTTATACAGTATCAACTTAGTCTCAAAAGCTTCTCCTGAAGATCAAAAATGTACCCAAATGAGTCGACAGACATTCAGTATGTAGACAGCAGCTCAGAAAATGTTTGGGTTCATATTGACGATCGATTGCAAACTTGGTATATTATCAAAATGGAGAACAGTTTGAGACATTGTTGAGACCTTCTGTTCACATGTGAGACTACTATGGTCTTTTTCTCATGAGAAACTTCGGAGAAGTGGATTGTTTCAAAATTAAAGAGATAATTGAGTTGTTAAAGTGCCCCTATTGCTTTTTCGGATATTACTGTACTTTTTATGTAGTGTGTGTATTTTATTTAATTTAGGAATAAGTTTAAAGTTAATTGGAAATGTAAAGATCTGATTTCCAGAACCCATTTCTGTTAGTGATCTGATATCCTTTTCCATGTGATGAAATCTAGTGCCCATTGTGCTTTTTGGGATAATAACTTTCATGTAGTGTGTAATACAGCTGTTTGTGAATGTAAAAGGTCTGTAAAGTTTCAAAGATCAAAGTGCAGATAAATAGAGTTATTAGCTGTGTCAAAAATCGCTCCCTATCCACTATATAGTGCACTATATAGGGTGTTGGGTGTTGGCCGTTTTGTAGTAGTGTCCGAATTCTGAGTGAACGACATCATTCCCTACTTTTACCCACAATCCTCTCTGATTTTGAGTGTACATCCGATGTACACTTGCTGAAGCACTATTTCCCAGAATCCAATGCGCAGAGTACTGAGGAGCGAGCGAGTTTAAACCAGAAATTACTTTACAGCTTTTTTTCTACCTTTTTTTTTTTAATCATTACTGGGAAAAAACATATTACAATATTGAGAAAATATTATATAGATGAATGTTAAAAAGTTTATTAAAATATATCATTCAGGCATTAACTCAATTTAATGTGTTTTACTATAAGCCAGGTGTTTTAATAATTTGTGGCATTGTTGTTAATTCGTTAAACTGTAAGGAAGGGATGATAATTTGGTGTATGATTTAAAAATATTCGTTAATCATCTGTTCATTCGAATGTAATCATAACGGTCGCCGAGGGCGCTCAACGACCACGTCATCTGTGAGCGCGATTTTCTAACAAAATTTCAATCGATGAAACTACAAATTTGGCACGGAGGTACATATAATTACAAAATAAAAGTCATTATAATTGTTATTGTTGTTAAAGGGGTCATATAATGGCACATGCACTTTTACAAGTTGATTGTACTGAAATGTGTGTTGGCAGTGCCTGTACACAACCATCATAATAATGATAAAAATCCATCCAGTGTTTTTGTTTTAATCTCCTTATATGTTTTCCCCTGTCTCAAATCAAGCCGTTCGACTGTGTGACGCCACACGCTCGGAAGCCCCTCCCACGATTGTTGATTGACAGCAGCGTTTCAACACAGACCCGCTCTCGCTCGTGAGCCAGCTGTCAATCATAGTCTGCGCGGACCGGCGCGGTCATTGTTTATATGCTGGACTGGAGCACTGTCTATGAGCAGAATGGCGTCTAAGCGATTGTGGTGTTCTGTTCTTGGGTGTAATAACGAACACAGTCATTTTAATGTTCCTAAATCCGAACCGCTGAAGACGCAGTGGCTGAGTTTGTTTTCGAAGGGAATATTCCCCACGAGCAACGTCAATGCTCTCATGTTTGCGCGAATCATTTCACACACCAGACTGCTTTATAAAGGAGGGTCAGTATAAAGCTGGTTTTGCTAAGAAGCTGCTCCTGAAAAAAGGATCGGTACCAGATTTTTCGTGTTTGTTCCTGCTGAACCTCTAGATTAGAACAACTGAAGTGAGTGTAACGTTTTATTAAACTTTATATTAATATTTATATTAATCTTTGCAAATCGCTTGCACGCTTCACAATGAATGCGTCTGTTTACACTCAGGGTACATTACTGCATGTTTTCTATGTATGATGTTCTCAATATAATTCATAATCCCACGTTTATAATGAACAACGCGTTATGGTTATTGTGTTACAAACGGTGTACACACAGAACAGAGAGGCGGAGTCAGCAAAGCTCATTATCATTTAAAGTCATATGCACTGAAACGGCGTGCTGAAAACAGAGCTGTTTTTGACCAGGTAAAATAAGTGTTTTCTTACCATACTAATGAGAATTTTTAATTAAAGTATATTACAAACTTTTAATTTAGACCCTAAAGAATCATATTAGCTTGTACAAAAATGGCATTATATGACGTAACGTTACGTAAGTAACGTAAGATAAAAGGAGTTTTATCACTACGTGTGACGAAGCCGTTTCTCCAGCTCTCCGACGCACAGTGTAACCGTCAGGGTCCGGATTCACTCACTTCATTTCATTCACTCCTTGCAGATATAGTGCACTCAAATACCATTCACTATATAGGGATTAGTGAATGGTTGAACGAGTGAGCGGTTTCGGACACAGCTATTGTCTCCCAAAAGAAAGAAGTGATTCTGAACTGCCTGAGACGAGTCGTTTTACTTCCTGCTGAACCTGCGTAGGTTTGTAACTAAATTTGCATAATGTCCCCCCATTGGCTGCTGGTGAACAGCGTCTGCTTTGCTCCGCCCTCAAACACTGTAGTTTATCTGAGAAAATCCACTTTAATGAGATTGATACGGCAAAACTGACGCCATCGTTACTGTTCGTATCACTGTGTATCAAGAGCGGAGGAAGAGCTGAAATTCAGAAGCGGTCGACCAGTCACAACAGACTGGGCCATCTGACCAATCAGAGCAGAGCATGCTTTCGGGAAGGCGGGGTTTAGAGAGACCGAATCCTTGATTGAACCGTTTCAGACACTGAGATAGAAGAGCTGATCCTCCAGTGTATATTATGAGAACATTCAAGTGTTTTTGATCTTGGACGCATGTAAACCTGTTATAGGAGACCTCAAAACAAAATTAGGAACTGTTAAAATGGCATAATAGTTGGACTTTAAAAATATGTCATCTGTGCTTTCTGTCTACAAATTAGATCCAACCTTTGTGAAGATTTTAGACCGCCAATACTGGCAAAGACTCACTGTCAAATATTATCCTTATCTAGTAATCATTAATAGTTGTAACTGCTGCCTAATACATTCATTCTGTCTGTTTTACTGAATACATGACTTTAACTAACCACATAACGTATGAATATTGCCATATGGACATTACTTGATACACTCATCACTAACTGATAACAGAATAATTCCTGATTGTAGCATTGAAACAAGCTGCTTTGAAACAATGTGTATTGTAAAAAGCAATATACAAATTAAGTTATATTGAAATTAAGTTTACAGTTATGCTGAAGTCATGCATAAACAAACATAAGTACAGATCATAGTTCATGGTTGATCTGATCTGCTCATTTCCTACAGGTGCAAATATCATACCTGTACTGCCACCCAGCTGGCATTGACCGCATGTTCACCAAACGGTCCAAAACCTACAGAAACACACAGAAACACAACCATTTGGCAGATGTAACTGTCTTATATATATATATATAAGTATATATACTTGATTCTGATTGGTCAATGGTGTCAATCTACAGTCAAACATTTTGAATAATGACACTAAACTGAATAACAGTTGAAGAAGAAATAAAGAACATTTCGAATCAAATCAATATTTCATGTCAATGTATTTATTTGGTAATTAGCCGTATAATTGGCATAATAATGTGCAATCAGCAGCCAGTAATTATCACCCAATATTAAGAGTGAAACAAGACCTCTCAGCTTCGCATGACTGACTGTACATTATCATCAACTTCTCTTTTATAGGCGTTACACCCTTTAAACTCAACATGCTTTCAGGACAAGCTGGAGTCAGCAGAATCTAAACAGTCCAGAGTCTAAGACTGGATTTAATGAGTAACTGCATATTTTTATCAGCTCAATCTGGAAGAAAAGTCGTTTTTAAATGTGCAATGATGATGGAAATCAGATGGTAAATTACTTTTACATAGTACTGAATGATTATCATACAGTCATATACAACAAACAGGATGATTATCATAAAGCTAAAACTATTAAATTTACATTAATTAATATAATTAATTATATGAATTATTAATTTATATAAAGCTGAAACAAAATATATATATTTGATGCATTTTTTTTAACTAAACAAAAATCAGAAATGTTGCCTTGACTAATTGAAATATGTATTGCAACAAATAAAAACTATTGATAATTTATAAAACAATAATTGATATAAATATTAATAAAAATATAAATGTATTATAATAATATAATATTAACAATACTGAAATTGAAAACAAAACTCCAAACACTTCAAAGAATGCCATAGTAAAGTATTGTAGCAAATGTCCAAACAAACATAATCGAAAATATACATGGTAGACGTCCCAAAAACAGTACTATGGTAAATATAAAAACTGAAAATTAAACTTTGTATTACCATGGTAAATGATAAAAACACGAGTATCATAGACAGAAATAGTAAAACACATGGTATCAACACAGTAACTGAAGAAAAGACCAGACAAGACACGAAAGGACAAGAAAAGAAGAGAAAACAAAACAAAACAAAAGAGACGAAGACTCAGCTGTCACTAGAAAAACTCTTAAAACTAAAACAAAAACCACATGATCCATCAAAAACATTCCGTTTTCCGTTACCGAGACTTTCATCACAGTTTACCTGTCACGATCACCGTCTTCTTCTGGTCCATCACTGACAAACAAGCGAGTTTTTTCGATCAAGAACAGAAGAATGACCATCCGATGAGATCTTCACAAACTGACATCATGATCAGGGACTCTTCCTCTCCGTCTCTGAACTGAGATCAGGGGTAACGGTGCACAACAGCGCCATCTGTCGCTCTGGCTGTATTTACCCTCGGGAATTATTCAGTCACTAAAATAAGTAGCCTAGCCTATAAAAAATAAAAATAAATGAAAACTATCACCACTTTATATAAATACTTGAAGATGATTATATAAATATAGGCCTATATGTTGTACGCTTGTTTATTATCTTAATAATTATGTTGCCTCCTAGACGATAAATACTCGTAAAACTCCCATTGACTTACATTGACCGAATGTTCAAATGAGCCAAGACTGTTCAAACTCTATCTATCTATCTATCTATCTATCTATCTATCTATCTATCTATCTATCTATCTATCTATCTATCTATCTATCTATCTATCTATCTATCTATCTATCTATCTATCTATGTCTCTGTCGTTCTATATATCTGGCTAAATCATGTAGTCACATGCTATTGCACATGAATTAGCACATTGCTAGCATGTTTCTGACATGAATTAAACGTGACAATATGTTAACATGATTTAAAACATTGTTAATTAGCATATTGTTAACATGTTTTAACACATTGCTAGCAGGATTTAGCACATTGCTAGCATGTTTTAACATGTTGCTTGCTATCATGATTTAGACTGATTGTAGGCTACTATTGCCTTCTAACTTTAAGTTTTAAAACTAGTTTAAACTTCAAACTACTTCAAACTGAAAAACTTCAAGCTTTTAAAATTAAAACTCCTTCAAACTTTCAGTCTTGACAAACATTTCTATCTAGTTGAACATTATGTACTTTACAGTCCTGTTAAATAAAGTTAGGCAGGAACAAAAAGGCACAGAGGCATTTATTTCTGCAAATTAAAATAATTGTTGCCCTTTAGAATAATCTTTGCCTAAACATAAATCAATAAAGCATGTTTGGACTTGCTTTATTGTGGGAGTGATTGGTGGTTTAGACATGTGTGCCAACACCCATAACTGAGATCTGGCCCAAACCTGTTTGTTTTAGCCAGTCCCTGTATCTTTAAAAGAATGGCTTCCCATTGAGGTGTTTATACTTAACCTTAATCAGCAGAAGTTCCTTCAGGCCGTGAGATGATGCTAAACACAAGAAGTGAGGCGGTGGACACACACACACACACACACACACACACACACACACACACACACTCACACACACATGCAGGAAATTAATTGAAAATGCTGCCAACAAGATATAACATATAAAGTGTTGAATTGCATAAGGATCTTTTAATGGTCATACACAGATCGTTGACAGGTAATTCCTTGAGGAGAATTTTAATCAAGAATCAATCTGCTCATATACAGCCTATATATTTATTTATTTAATTAAATGGGGGCGTTTTTAAGGGAGGCAGTGTCTCCTAAAAGAAACTGGATGAGAAAACAATCGATTTTACAAAAATAAAAGAACGCAAACATTACAAAATGTGACATTCATAAAGTGTAAATCACTCATTTTCTAAAGTAATGCTGTCCAACAGCGACACCCGTAGATGAAGTTATGCATCTCTCTTGCCTCCCTTGAGCCCGTTGAGTTTTAAAGTCCCCCTGTAGACAATAATTGTATCCTTTAAAACTCATCTTTTGATCACCAAAATTACATATTTAAACGTTTTTTTCCTGTGATTTTTTCCCTTCATGCCTTAAAATATCTTGAATGTAACTCGACACCCTTGCCTCATTTAGTAGGCTATAAGTGGTTCTATGAATTCCCGATTTTAGCTGATAATCTGCTTCTCTCCAGACTTAATGATATGCTAAAGCCCTCCCCCTCGTGATCTGATTGGTTACAAGGTAGTTTGTGACGTCAGAAACACCAGCTATTTTAAACCTTTTTGTATGAATTTACACATGGTTTGTCTTAAAGCGTATTAAAAACACCACATAGACACATAAACAACATTAAAAACTTGATTTTAGTAATTGTTTGGGGAAAGTCACATGAGAGGAGGCAATGCCTCCATTGCGCTATGATTGGATATGATCGTTATGATTGAATACGATTGGTTCGTGCCATAAATCCCGCCTCTTGTTTTTGTGCACGTTCTCGAATCGGCCTGAATGAAGATAATAATGGCGTTAATAAGACTAATTAAAAAGTAAGTAAATAACTCATCCACAGATATCACAGCTTTATGTCACGTCAAAATCAAACTTTAGTTTAGTGAGCAATAAGCTTGAGGAAATTAAATGTATCTTCTGTGAGTTACAAGCTTGATGACTAAAAATAAGAGGACTATGTATGTATGTATATATATATATATATATATACGGGTGTAATGATACCCTCATGTCACGATTCGATATAGGCCCATAACACGATACTGAACTCACAATACGATATTCCAAGACATATGATAAAAGGTTAATGAAAACTGAACTGTTGATTAAAATGCTAAATGTGATATTACATTGTGGGTGTAAATGAATAGACTTGGTGCTGAAACCCAACACAGGACAATAGACACACCAGAATACAATATTCATGATTCTGAAGCTAAAAATACAGAATTATTTTAGACAAAAATGCTTGCACTCTGCCACTTTTTACACAAATATTCCCCCATTGCATTATTATACATTAGGCCTATATATAGTAGTTTAATAATGTAGTACTGACACAAACTCTGAAAACTTGAATTTTTTTCTCACACAGTAATATTTATTTAAACTATCCTCAATAAATATCGCGACACGATATATTGCTACACACCCCTAATATTTACACATACATACACACATGTTTATAAAGTTAAACATTGTTTTTAACTAAACAATAATGGCTTTCAGTGTGCATAACTATCTGTTGTATTCTCTTATTTTTCCTCCTCCATTGCTGGTAAAAATCCATCTGTTCTTCTTCTTCTTCCACCCACTCATGCTCTGCACATCTTCACCCCCGCTTCATTCACCTGCCTCTGCGTCAGAGCCCATGTCAGTGTTGCCATGGCAACGGATGATGATGATGATGATGCTGATGATGCTGCTTCTATTCTCTGATGCAGTCGGTCTACAGACGTCATCGCCTCCCATTCAGATCTGCGCATTTACCCACGCTCTTCTTTCTCAGACTCACCGCCTGCAGTGTTATTAATAGAAATCCACACGGCTAATTCAATTCATGAATGCAATTTAACTTCAAAGCATCTTCACGTCCCTTAAGATTAGGATTTCTAAATAAAGTTGTCATTTTCCCTTCCCTTCATTAAGTGATATTTGTACGGTTGCAAAAAACAAAGAGCTATGCAACAACGTTTTGTTTGCAACTATTTATATTTTGCATACATTATGCAGTAGCAATGCATATACAATAGACTAGTGATAAATAACACAAGCTTAAAACATATGGGAAATAAAAGAAATACACTCACCGGCCACTTTATTAGGTACCCCATGCTAGTAACGGGTTGGACCCCCTTTTGCCTTCAGAACTGCCTCAATTCTTCGTGGCATAGATTCAACAAGGTGCTGGAAGCATTCCTCAGGGAGTTTGGTCCATATTGACATGATGGCATCACACAGTTGCCGCAGATTTGTCGGCTGCACATCCATGATGCGAATCTCCCGTTCCACCACATCCCAAAGATGCTCTATTGGGTTGAGATCTGGTGACTGTGGAGGCCATTTTAGTACAGTGAACTCATTGTCATGTTCAAGAAACCAATTTGAAATGATTAGAGCTTTGTGACATGGTGGAAGTAGCCATCAGAGGATGGGTACATGGTGGCCATAAAGGGATGGACATGGTCAGAAACAATGCTCAGGTAGGCCGTGGCATTTAAACGATGCCCAATTGGCACTAAGGGGCCTAAAGTGTGCCAGGAAAACATCCCCCACACCATTACACCACCACCACCAGCCTGCACAGTGGTAACAAGGCATGATGGTTCCATGTTCTCATTCTGTTTACGCCAAATTCTGACTCTAACATCTGAATGTCTCAACAGAAATCGAGACACATCAGACCAGGCAACATTTTTCCAGTCTTCAACTGTTCAATTTTGGTGAGCTCTTGCAAATTGTAGCCTCTTTTTCCTATTTGTAGTGGAGATGAGTGGTACCCGGTGGAGTCTTCTGCTGTTGTAGCCCATCCGCCTCAAGGTTGTGCGTGTTGTGGCTTCACAAATGCTTTGCTGCATACCTCGGTTGTAACGAGTGGTTATTTCAGTCACTGTTGCCCTTCTATCAGCTCGAACCAGTCTGGCCATTCTCCTCTGACCTCTGGCATCAACAAGGCATTTCCGCCCACAGAACTGCCGCTCACTGGATGTTTTTTCTTTTTCGGACCATTCTCTGTAAACCCTAGAGATGGTTGTGCGTGAAAATCCCAGTAGATTAGCAGTTTCTGAAATACTCAGACCAGCCCTTCTGGCACCAACAATCATGCCACGTTCAAAGTCACTCAAATCAACTTTCTTCCCCATACTGATGCTCGGTTTGAACTGCAGGAGATTGTCTTGACCATGTCTACATGCCTAAATGCACTGAGTTGCCGCCATGTGATTGGCTGCTTAGAAATTAAGTGTTAACGAGCTGTTGGACAGGTGTACCTAATAAAGTGGCCGGTGAGTGTATATTCGACTAAACTGCAACAAGTTTGCAACCAAATCCACATTTTAATGCATTTAAAAGCTAATTATTTGGAGTATCTTCTTTCATAAATATGGATATAGCAATTATTCTGGCATATATCTATTATGTCATATATCTGAAAACATTAAAATACTCTTCATGTTCCTAATATATTATTAATACATTCTTCGTATGACACATGACTTATGCAACTAGTGCAAAATATACATAAAATATTAAAAAAAAATGTTTATGAAACATAATGTTGCAACAGTATAGCCTGTGTATAGGCTATTATCCAACATACTTTTAGGTCGGACAATAAAACTATAAATGCTTATAAATTGCATAATGCTTATACAAGAGAGATGAAAGTCCTGATGTGCATGTGCACACAAATAAATTAAAATAAGCCTTTTTTTAAGATTTACGCATTTCAAATAATAGTAAAATGATATCAAATTGAATCAAGTAATCTTCAAATATTATTCAAATTATGAATTGAGAATTTTAAATAAATAAAAAAACTAGAGCTTATTAAAACACTTAATTAAAAACAAATTATGAATACAATGGTTATATAAATGGTTATAATAAATGGTTCATTCACCCGTTCCATTAAGATTTATACAAAATGTTTTATTAAGCTCTAGGTTTGTTTTTTACTAAAATGAAAGTCTTAATGCATAATATGAATAATATGTAAGGATTATTCAATGGAATTGTACCATTAATTGAAATGCATAAATCTTGAAAATAGGCTTATTTTAATTTATTTGAGTGCACATGCAGAGTTTCATCTCTCTTGTAAGCATTATGCAATTTATGAGCATTTATAGTTTTATTGTCCGACCTAAAAGTATGTTGGATAATATACACCGGCTATACTGCTGAAACATTATGTTTCATAAACATTTTTATAATAGCCAATATCCCTTTCACTTTAGTTTCAGCACTTTTGCATACATCTTGAAAAGAAAAAAGCTAAAAAAGTTGACTGTGGCTGTGCATATAAGCCTATACATTTAAATAACTCATATTTAAAGTGTATATTATGTACAGTGGGATCAACAAGTCTGGGACAACCTGTAAATAAATAAAGTTTAAAGACTTGGGATTGATAAAATGAATAAGAAATATTAATCTCTATTTCCAACTCTACACGAGTGTGGATTATTCCATCAGATAAAAAAAAGCTAGAGTGGAACTGGAACACTTGATCAAGCATACAAACAAAGACCTTCAACATGTTCAAAAAGAAGGGAACATTTTCTACCAGCCAGGCTTGCCTTGTTTCCCCACCCTCGCGCGCTCTCTACGTTCGCTATGACATCAACCCACAATGCACCGCACTGTTTGCCGTTTACTCGCCGTCTCTGTGGCGACAGCGGCCAGCGCCGCCCTTTATGCAAATGAAACCGGAAGAAAACGTCATCTTTGGCCAATCTGAGCGTTCTAAAGTGACATAATGGAATTTTTAGGGATAGAAAACTTGCAAATGCGTACTGACGCCCATAGAGAACACCTCTCGTGCAAGGGAGAAACAACAATACCGTAAAACAATACCATAAATCGATCAAGGGAATAAAAATAAACGTTCGAGGAAATACTTGTGCGATCAAATGCGTCGTTTGGACACCCTTCACTGGGTGTAGTAGGATGGGAACAAGCCTTTACCCAGACGAGGATATCCAAGGAATATCACGCATTATGATGAAGAAAGACATGAGTTTGAACCTAGACGACCAGAATAGCTCGAACCTCAAGCCAGATTTGAGAGATGCCGAGGGAATTCTTAATTCGCCCGATTTGGGGCTCCTAAAACTGGCTTCTCCAGAGCTGGAAAGGCTGATTATCCAGTCTAACGGGATGGTGACCACCACACCGACCTCGCAGTTCGTCTACCCGAAGTCGGTAAGCGACGAGCAGGAGTTCGCGGAGGGATTCGTCAAAGCCCTGGAGGACCTTCACAAGCAGAACCAGCTGAACGGTGGACCGTGTGTTCCACCGACGCTTAACCGACTCACAAGCAGCTCTAACCTCGCCTTGCCCACGGACCTGCCCGTGTATACGAACTTAAACGCGTACGGAAGTACAACGGTTAACTATTCAACGGACACGATTCCGTTCCCTCCGCCGCCGCCCGCGCACCCAATGGCGACGCAACAACCGCAAAAGGACGAACCGCAAACCGTTCCGGACATGCAAAGCTTCGGAGACAGTCCTCCGCTCTCCCCCATCGACATGGACACGCAAGAGCGCATAAAGGCCGAGAGAAAGAAGCTGCGCAACCGGATCGCCGCCTCCAAATGCCGCAAGAGGAAACTCGAGCGGATTTCCCGGTTGGAAGACAAAGTGAAATCTCTGAAGAACCAGAACACGGAGCTCGCGTCCACGGCGAGCGTGCTGAGAGAGCAAGTGGCGCAGTTAAAACAGAGAGTGATGAACCACGTCAATAACGGCTGTCAGTTGCTGCCTAATCAAGTTCAAGCTTATTAAAAAAAAAGACAGTTGGGAACTTAATTGGGACAAACTACTTCGTCATAACTGCGTCTTTAACGGACAGCTCTGTCGCTTAGTCACGTGATACTACCCTGTCAATCATCTTGTCAGTTAAAATCCTCCACATTCAATTTTTATTTAATTTCCTACCGTTTGGGAGAGAAACGTTGTCACGTTGATATGTCGTGGGTCTTTCATGTGTTCGCAATTTGCATAATGATGCATTGACCAAACGTATCCTTTACAAAAGTTCACAATGTTGTTGCAGATTAAATATAATGTGGATAACAATGAATACATGTATTTTCATCTGGTTAGATACTGGTCAAACCCCTTTATCTAAACCTCTCGTCAGACTCGCACACCCGCCATGTTTGTAGTTTTTGTAACACTTTTTATTGGTGTTTGTAGTTCTAATCGAATCCTTGTCCAACGCGGCAATATTAGCCGTTAGTGTGCATTTTCAACATACTACGATTTAGGACACACTAATTCTAATACTATTTAGGACGGATAGTATGCACATTTCATTTAAATTAAACCGTTATTTTATTAAGCTAATTCGCAAAGAGTCATGCTTTGTAATGCAACGAAACTAGCGATTGTGCGCAGTGATACAGCGAACATTGTTTCGCGTCGGTGTCATATTACAGCGAGTGATCAATCTTCACCCAGGACTGGAAATATATCTAAATATATCTGTTTGATTGGACAAGCAGTATAACGTTTTCCTAAAATGTCACTGGAAAGTTCGCTCCAAGTATCCGCCAGATGTGTGTTGTTTGGTAGCACGAGACGCTCTATCCTGTTTCGGTTTCTTTTGGAGCTATTTTCGTTGCTTTTATTATAATAATGTATATTATTTTCGTTAAACCGTCATGAATAGCCATCATTCCGCCAAAAGATATAGTCCCTGACATGACAGAATGTTGCAATGCAACGAAACTAAGGATTGTGCGATTGTATGCTGTTTTGCATCATGTTTTGCATCATATTTTAGCGATTGATCAATCATCCAGGACCGGAATTATATCTTTTTTTTTATTTCATATCTATTTTTGATTGGACAAGCAGCGTTCCTAAAATTTTTCCTAAAACATATATTGAAAGTTCCCTCTTTGTATCAGTCCACTGTCAGTCTGTGCGTTGCTTGGCAACACGATTGTGTTTTGGTTTCTTTTGGAACTAATTTCGGTGGTTTGATATTTTATTAAATTGTTATTATGATAATTGCAAAAAAATAAATACAGTCCCAGACTTGACTGAATGTTGCTATGCAACAAAACTAAAGTTTCTGATATGCTAAAAGGTGTTTTGTATGTAAAAAATTTTCCGCCATGGAATAAAGAAATTTAAAAGATAATTGCGACTTTTTATCTTGCAATTCTTACTTTTTTTCCACAATTAAGAGTTTATATATCGTAATTCAGACTATTTTGCAATTACAAGTTCATATCTCGCAATTAAGACTATTTTTGGCAATTCTGACAATTTTTCTCGCAATTGCGAGTTTATATCTCGCAATTTTTAGTATTTTTTTCTCGCAGTTTTGACTTTTTTCTTGCAATTCTGAGTTTATATCTTGCAATTCTTTTTCTGCAATTATGAGTTTATATCTCGCAATTCTTTTTGCCAATTCTGACTATTTTTCTCGCAATTGTGAGTTTATATCTCAAAATATTTTTTTTTCTTGCAATTCTGACTTTTATTCCTCACAATTGCGAGTTTATATCTCACTTTTCTGAGGAAAAAAAATTATAATTGTGAGATAAAAAGTCGCAATAATCTTACTTTATGTTTTTATTCAGTGGCAAAGTCAAGCTTCCATAGTTTTGCTTCATAGCTGTTTTTTATGTTATATTAGCACTACTGGAACGCTGCATTGACCAATCATGTTTTATATTTTTTTAACTATAAATATATTTAGGCCTATACAGCAGTTAGTTCTGGTACACTAATTGCATTACACTAGCAGTCTAGTGAGTATTTATAAGAGCACTGAATTCATTTCACTTGCACTGTATCACTAGCATGTTGACAGTTGATCCAGGGGACTTTTTCTGAAACTGTTTTCTTCGGCAGAGCAACAACCAACAAAAAAATGTCACACTCAATATGAAGAGTTGTATAAAAGCAATATCACATTGCAGTGCATCAGTGTATTAAAACAGCAGCCTGGGAGTGTAATGATTTCATATCACGTGGATGTGATGAAGTCAGTCGGATAACTGTGTGTTGAAACATTATTCTGAGCTGCTGTCACTTGTCAAGTCAACTACACATTTACTGATGCATAAAGGTCACAAACTGATCTGATCTCACCCTTCCAGTGACCATTCATTCTCGTTGAACTGTCGAAGCGGACACTACAGGTGCTGATGTATAATATGTTTACAATATTTTGTAGCAAATGGACTCACGGAAGCAATTATGCTACATCATTTGGTCTCATGAGAGAAGATCTAAGCTGTATTTTTGCATGCTCGAGACAAGCTCAAAATGAGTGCAACCAAACACAACAAAGATGTCATGCATGTATACGCTTCATGTTTAAGGCCTTATCTGACGACAAGCTCTTATTAATCAACGACTGTATCTATTTTATATACAACTATTCACACAATGTCTTATTTTATGCTCTTTTGGATTTACGTGTGTCGTGCTGTAAATGTAAACTTTCCACCCGTCACGTGTCCTGTACTGCCTTCATACGTTCCTAGTGTGATGATGTGTACATTAATGTCATTAAACCTGTTCAATTCACTTGTTAAATTATATGTTTGTGGCAATTTTATACCCCTCTGTTCATGCATACATATACAGGTGAAACTCGAAAAATTAGAATATCGTGCAAAAGTTCATTTATCTCAGTAATTCAACTTAAAAGGTGAAACATATATTATATAGACTCAAAGTGAGATATTTCAAGCCTTTATTTGTTATAATTTTGGCTTACAGATATGAAAACCCCAAATTCGAATTAGAATATTGTGAAAAGGTTTTCATAAGCTGTAAGCCATAATCATCAAAATTATAACAAATAAAGGCTTGAAATATCTCACTTGGCATGTAATGAGTCTATATAATATATTAGTTTCAGCTTTTAAGTTGAATTACTGAAATAAAGGAACTTTTGCACCATTTTCTAATTTTTCGAGTTTCACCTGTATACACACTAAAAAATGCTGAGTTGTTTCAACCCAAATTTGGGTCAAATATGGACAAACCCAAATGTTGGGTTAAAAATGCAGTTAAAAAATGTACTGTTGAAAGTTGAAGTTGGGTTAAAATTTGAAATGACATTTTTAACCCAACATTTGGGTTTGTCCATATTTTACCCAAATTTGGGTTAAAACAACCCAGCATTGTTTAGAGTGTATAGACCTAGTCGTATTTAAACGTTTGTAGAAAAGTTTGAAACTGCGTCCTCTAGTGGTCTAGGCATGGTACAACAACTATTAAATAGTAAAACTCTACTTACAAGTACACTATATGCAGCAAGTAAATGCATGGTTGCATGCTATAAGAAGAGGCATCATATGTGCATTTGTGTTATAAAGCACAACCCACTGTCACGGTTTTATTTCAAATGTATAATTTTTTTTTTTTTGCTATTTAGCCCAGTAAAACGTTCAAATGAACTACTGAACATCAAAACCCACACTAAAAAAATTATAGACCATTATGGCAACATATGTTTTTGCATTGCTTTTAACTCATCAAAATAAGTTAAGTCCCCCTGTGGTGAAAAAACAGATTTTAATGTTGTTTATGTGTCTATGTGGTGTTTTAATACGCTTTAAGACAAACCATGTGTAAATTCATAAGTCGACAGCATTGCTGAGTATTTTCAGTCTCAAAAACATGGTTTGAAATCGCTGGTGTTTCTGACGTCACAAACGACCTTGTAACCAATCAGATCAACGTGTGATCGTCAACCAGTGGATCTCTGAGCTGAGTGAGTGAGTGGAGGCGGGGCTCATTTGCATATTCATAGAGTTCATGTCAACATATTCATGTCTAGTTACATTCAAGCAATTTTAAGGCATAACAAAAAAACTTTACATATGTAATTTTGGTGATCAAAGGTGAGTTTTAAGGAATAAAATGATTGACTACAGGGGGACATTAATACATTTTTAACTTTTTTTTTAATAAGTTATACAAGATGCAACTAATTTTTTAAGTTTGTTCAATGTAATTTAAGTTGAAATGACTTAAACATCCAAGTTGATTGTACTTAAAAATTTAAAACACTGCACAATGCTATTTTAACATTCACTACTGATGATAAATCAAGGTCTAAAGCAGACAGAATGAATTCATGTCCATATGTATACTGTGTTGGGTAAGTTACCGTACTCTAAAAAAGTAATTACTAGCTTAATTACATCTACAACAGTCTAATTAGATTATTAGTATTGCATTACTTGTTACTAATTACTTTCTAAATCCCATATCAACCTCAAAGTTGAACAATACAAGGATACATTAAAAAAGCTATTTTAATTATTTTAAATAAATACTATAAAATTGTATAAATTATTCTTGAATTGACCAAAGTATTTAAAGGGAGAAAACTACATAAAAAAAAAAACACATACATTTTAACATTAGACATTACATTTTGGTTTAATTAATACAGTATTTAATGCAAGTAACTGTAATTAAATTACAGAAAATTAAGAGTCATCTTTTTCAAGGGAAAGGCAATTAAATCAGAGTTACTCTTATCTTGTGTTTGGTGGAAATCTTCACAAAAGAGAGTATAAAACAAATATTGTATGTTACTGTGAGAATTAAGCCATTTTTTACAGTGAAGTTGATAAAGTCTCTATATATTACGGCATTAACGCAGTACGTTCTGTGTCCAGTAGGGAGAGACCAACACCATCATATTTGCTTTCCCTACAACATTTGATTTACACTCTCTTGTGAAGCTGTCCACCAAACACAATAGACAGAGAAGAGTAAGTGTTGGCAGACAGAAGTATTGACTGTGATAAATGAGCTCAATTGTCCAGAAAGGCTTGCAGAAGCTCTTGCATTGTTTGCTGTTATTTCACATCTCATTGCGTCAAAGGTTTAACTATAGTTATGATGACACCTAGTTAAAACATCAGCCTTAGTTCACCGTGACAGAACTCACTTGACCAGAAACAGCACATTTTATTTGTTTCCATGGCAATATGAGCT